GGACTTGAATCATTGTAGTCGTTGTTATTCATCTGGCGATAGTGTNGAAGATTTCGTGATTCCTCACAACTGNGAATTGGTTATTCTTTCNGAAGCNGATGTAGAAAACTTTATTGGCAAAGACATTTTATCAAATTTAAGGAACGCTTTCAAATCTGTGGANAATCCACATTCGAGAAATATTGGCATTTCAACACTACAAGAAATAGTTTCATCTCTTTCNAAAAATATTTAGGAATATCTCGTTTTCGTTGTTTAGTGAATGCTTCTTTGTTATCATTGAAATATTTGAAATTTAATATTTTGTAAAGGATGTGGAGTTTCTTAAACTTTCTTTATCAAAAGATTCTGAAATGAATGGAGATTACCATAACTGTCGTAGTCTTATTTTGTAGTAAACGATTTTCATTGTCCAACTTCATGGGCAGCTAAGTATGGAAAGAATCCACCTTGCAGGTTTAGAATATCCCCTCGTCAATAGAGAATCAGCGATATTACAAGTTCTAAACGCTTTTGAAGCTACTTATCCTTCGGACTCAAAAGGTGTAATCCAAGGTCAGCGACCAAACGTGTGTTATGCACCCCAAATGTATGGGAGTGGTAAAAGCACTTTTGGGGAGAATTTCCAAACCTTTCTTTTGGCCAACAAAGAGAGCTTGTTGCGTTATTTGAATATGAACAATATGTTTCCTGGCGTTGCAAGGGGTGAAAATGTAGGCGAACGTGCATTGGACGCTTTGCTTAATGAAACTTTATATGTCAAGTTGAACCTTGTTGAAGTACCAAACGGAACTAGTTTTGAAACGACACTTTTGAAGTGGATAAGCAAGAAGGCACTTGCTGAGTTTCCAAACGGTTCAGAATTGCTATCTCAAGTTCTTTGTTGCATGAATAGTTGCAAACAATGGCTGCAGAAACTCTTGCAAGTTACCCAAAAACGTTATTTATATCTATTCATTGACGAAATTGGAGCTTTAGAAGGTTTTAAATTCTCCAAGTTTGAGGATTTGATATACAGTTATGGACCAACTCCGGTGCACAACATTTATCGTGCCTTTTTTAGAGTCTTGTCCAGTTTGTTAGTCAGGCCTTTTGTAATTTGTGTTGTCGCAGGAAGATCAGATGCTATTATCACAAGACAACGAGATGCCAGTATTTCACGAGTAAGGTTGTCTTTTCTTCGTTTGGATCCCTTTTCAGAAGAGACTGTCAAGTTCTTTATACAAAATACGACGTATCATAATGAATCTATTCTAAAGCTTCTTTTTCCTAATCATCCAGAAGGACACGATTGGTTTTTTAAACAAATACATAGTTATACTGGTGGTGTTCCTTATTACGTTGTTTATGTTTTAAAGAAATTGTGCGAGACTTGTAGAATTGTTTCGAGATCCATTGATCCTTCAGAGGATGAAATCCAAAGTAGAATAGAGCAAATTCCTCCTGACTCTTCGCTTTCGGTGAGACCTTCTCATAGGACACCAGAGGCAATGACTACTTTCACTGCTATGCTTCTCGCGAGTATGTTAGAATTTCGTATTCCTATGGAAGAGACTCTGTTGGGTGGTGTATCTATGGGACTTGATTCCAAATATGTTCTGGATATTGCTAATCATTTTGGTTTTTATTACGAAAATTGTTCTAAGAATGAACACGGTGAAGAGATTGAAGCAAGTCTCAACCCAATAGAACAAACATTTGTCAAGTTGGTTTTTCCAAAAATTGCTTTAAAGTATATCGAAATTGAATGCTGGGATGTTCCTCCTATTCGTTTTATTTGTAGTTTGTTTTCATCCATTAGTCGCTTTGACTCACCTTCTAGTCGTGGTTTCAAGTTTGAAATTATATTTACTCTTATTCTTTATGTTCGATGGTGTTTTTGTTCCAGATTGGGTGAATTGAGTCTATTTCGGCATAGTCTTGTAGAAGATATTCCTATAAAAGTTGGGCGGAGAGTGTTAGGAGAATTCGAAAAGGATCCTATTCTCAAGTGTGTTCCAGCATTGAGTTCCACAGTTGTTGGTATTCATAGTGCCAGCGAAGAAACTTATCATGTGAGTGCTTGGAAGCCGTTGTTTGAAACTTGGTTATCAAATGATGGAATATTTATTCCTACAAGGCAAAACTCCAGTGGACCTGATGTTCTTATTCGAGTAACACAAACTAGCGACAATTCTATTCTTATTGGACAAGATGCATCTTCTGTAGAGCAAATATCCATGGAAACTGAAACCAGTGCAAGTGATATTTTGAACAAACGGAGGATCTATTTGATTGGGATTGCATTGAAGTGTTATCAAATGTCAAGTCCTGGTGTTGGACGTTCTATGATTAAAGCAGAATGTGCTAAATTTTTACATCCAGTTGCGTCACAATTGGACTTGGAGAATCATAATATAATGGCAATTCAGTTTATTGTAAGCAACAAGTATACTGCAGAAGTATCCAAACAGCTGAATGACTCCCAAAATTGGGTATTGGATAGTGGAATTTATTATGAAGACCATAACAATCATATTGTCTCTAGTCCTATCAATTCTGCGACAAAACCACAGAATACAAGGGAAGAATGGCTATGGATTCCTCCTCATTGTCAAGTTGTAGTATGTTCTACCAGCTCTCTCAAATCTTTTTTAGGTTGCAAGGCTAGTGAAGATCTAGATAGAGTTTTTGGAGACCATCCATTATGGTTGGACCAACTCAGACCACTTTCAAATCTGTTGGAAAATTCATTGATAGACCTGTTGAGTCGTGCACCATTTGAGCAGTCTTCTGAGAGGAATATTCAATCCATGGAGAGGGGTAACCCAGTTATGAATTGGAATGTTATGCAAGTGGAAGAAGGAGATACACGAGGCGAACAAAGGGTTGCAGCATCGAGTTCTTTGTCTTCGTCATTTGATTGGAATACTTTCCTAAGAGAATATTGTGGTCTTTCTGAAGAAGATGTTGCTTATTGTCTTCCGAAAGTGGAAGATATTGATATGGACGAGCTTCCAGCGGTGACCAAAGAAATTTTAAGGGACTTGGGTATAGATAAACCTGCGTTGAGGTTGAAGATAAGATCTTCTATAAGGTCATATCTCGCTAACGAACGATGAATGTATTTGAGAGTTTTGTCATTTTTTCAATATGTTTCATTCGTTGTATTTGCAACTGATAAATACAAAATTTTCTTTTATTCTATTATCGAACATTGAAGATGTTGACCTGCTTTACTCGATTTTGAGCAAATGCTTTCACAGGAGATATGGAGTCTTTTATGTTTAGTGAGTTTTATTGAAGAAAATATTCCACTAAAGGAGATTTAAAAAGCTATTGGTATAATAACTGGTCTAGATAGAATTTATCTTGATACCATAGTTATGTTGCTATAGGAGAAAGATAGCGTTGTCAGGAAGTTCTGTCAACTCTCTAGCGACGTTAAAGCCTTTCAACAAAGTTGAGTTTGACCAACATTATCTTTGCAAGGTAAGTTTCAGTTCTATTGCAACTACCTTTGACTTGTTCTCAAACTGAGAATCTTCCTTCGTTGGCCTTAACATAGCCTCGGAAAGCTGCTTGAAAGTGCAAACTGGTCATTTTCCCAACTTCAACGGGAGCAATTCTATCAACTTGCGGTGTAAAAAGTGTAATATTTCCTTCAAAGTATAATCTTTGTTCGATTATCCAATCCTAGCATTGGAAAAGTTACAAAGGTCTTGGTTATATCTTACGTAAAGAACTTGAGAGTTTTGACTGTTATAACAGCAGAAGTGGAGATGCTTTTGCTTTTCGTAGCACGTATATTTCACGATTTACCTTTTTTTTTTACGTGCAAAGAGGACATGAAATATTCTCTTTCCAAATTTTCTAGAGTTATTCTTTCTTTCGCTAGTAGACGATATTTTCCAATCTATATTATCTTTGAGAGAGCTAAATATTTACCTGAATGTGATGAGTCAATAAGATAGACTCTGGTAGTAAAGGAAAAAGACCAATAGTTATATTTTATTTCCCTAAAGAAAAGTGACGTTTTTCTTTTTCCTGGTGCCATTTGGATATGTTCCTCGCCTGTTTACACAAAACGTCGAATTGTCTTTGTCAAGTCCAAAAAAAACTTTACCCGTGTACCAAACAGTTACTAACCAAGCTTCCGTGGTCTAGTAGTTGTTGTACTTTGGGTTATGAAAGTATGAGTTGAATATTCTCACATCGTACTCCAGTTTTTTAGCCTTTTTCTTCACCTAAAGGCAAAAGATTATTAGTGTCAACATATTTCATTTTATCTTGTTCTTAACCAAACAACTCAAAAGGGGGTTTTGAAAGTTTGAAGCAATACTCAAAGTTGGATACGACTTGCAGCGAGTGTGTGTTGTCATTGTAGTCTAAGTATATTCTCAAGTTTGAAATTGACTGGTTTATTGTGAAGTATAGTCTCACAGTGAAACAGATGAATAAATAACATTTAGTAAAGTTACAATAACAGTTTGGAGTTAATGACATATCATACCAACACCAATCCAATTGTTTAGAGGAAAAAGAATATTCTACCAGAACAATAGGGTGAAATTGCGACTCGAGTCTCTACAATACAGATAGTTGAACTTTGTCTTCTGGGATAGACAAACGGGCAAAAGTACTCGTCCTCTCTTTATAAACTCGTCATATCTCTGTAAGACTCGTTCCTGTTTCTTTCCTAATGATAAATTGGATAAATACATAGATTGGTATTGAAAGTAAACAAGTCACTTTTACGCTTTCGATTCGAACTCCAAATACTGTTAGCATCCAGTCAAACAAACCTCCTACAACCTAAAAGCTTTCGTGAAGACACATTCAATCGCCAAACTTGAATCCTGGTGCATTTTTTCATTGAAACTTGTGAAAAATGAGATGAAAATGAAAAGAATCATTTAATTCATCTTTCCACTTTATTATAAGGGAAATTTTCAACAATAATCTAATATGAACTTTCGGCTTGAAATATTTCTAACAACCCAATGTTATATCTTCAAGTATAACAAACCGCCTCCGTTAAAATAAGAGGGTAGTAACATAGAGTTCCATTCCATTTGCCTACGGAACATCGATAGTTTAGTAAATAGGAGCTTGAATCTGTCATGATACTTTTCTTTTTTACAATGAACTTTTCATGATGCTGTCTTAGTAAAGCAAGTTACTCAGATTATCTCTGAAACTCTGCGAATTTTTCATCTTTTAAAGGTTCAATATATTAAAAACCATGCCATGAGATGACTCGAAGAAGATTAACTTCAAAAGCGTGGCGTTGAAAACAGCCAAAGTAAGTCACAAGAGGTCCATGGAGTCTATGTTGAGAGAATTTAACAAACTTGAACTTGGAAGACTCAATCTTCCACTATGAGAGTCTAGAAATAATAGATTATGGAGAGCCAATCTCATGGACACTAACTGTATATTCTCTAATTACCTTTCTTAAAACTTCAACATACTCATCCACGATGAATGAGTCTCATTATAGTTGGAAGCCAAATTCTAACAATACTTTCTACAGCATACTTTCCTCTGCAATTCGTAATTTTTACAAGTCCAATATAGTCCTCCCCGTTGGATATGAACACCCTATTTATTTGTCACCCGCATATTTGCAGTTCGAGTTTTCAGATCTATCTCGCCGAGATAATTGATCTTGGGAATATAAAGCCTAATTCTTACATTCACTCATCTAAAATTTGCATATTACAAATGTTCTGCAATAATTCAACCTAAAGTAGCGAAAATTACAGTTTGAAACTGTCTCCCATTCCTACAGCAAGTGAAAGAGTTGACTGCTACCTCTCACCCTTGGTTAAGCCGTAACTTAAGATAACTTGTATTATTATGGAACCATATCTTGTGAAAACAGTAACCAGGCTATATATATGCCAAAGAAGTCTACTTGACAAAAATTGGATTTCAGTCTTTCAACAAATTCCGTATTCACACATCCTATTTTAGACGACCAAAGGTCATCAATTTTTCATATCCACTCTCTTTACATATTGTGCACAAAGTCGCAAATAAAAGCTAACATGTATATCGCAGAAATTTCTACACGTTTTAAAGATAATCGAAATTGAATGAAGAAAAACCTAGTCGAAAAAAAGTACAAATGAAGAAAACTTATCTCTATGTTCTCAGACTGTGGTGCTCTTTACTGCATTGTTGAGGGTTTTTGAGGGCTCCAAGCTGACGAGTCCCTTGAAAATGTTTAGAAAGTCATCTATGATTGACTGTCAACACAAAGCTTTTTCAAACTTGTGGAAAATTCAGTTCTCAACCTGAGGAATAGTGTTCGATTTCAATGGCATGAAAATGCATTATATTAGAAGGATTGCAAAAGAAGACTATATTTACTTTATATGGCTGGATGAATTCTTTGAAAGTAAATTGTCACTGAATTGTGGCAGAAACAAGTTTTCATTGCGAATATCTTGAGAGCAAGAAGTGAGGTTTCTCGATACAGTGTCTAAGATTAACTGGCATCGATATTAAATTTGTATGAAATTTCTTAAAATTGTTTAGCGACAATTCTCTTAGAGTCTTTTATTTCGCATCGTATTAACTCACTTATAACGCACCATCACGTAAGATTCCTGCATTGCGATTGTCAAGTCAAACATCTAATTATAACTGGTTATCAAGGTTCGCTTCGTTTCCAATTTTTTGGATTCGGATACATAACAAAAACCTGTTATTGATGGAATCTAAGTAATGCAAAAGTTATCTCGAGTTGATTTAATATTACGAAACCTGAATCCTGCACAACGAAACACAAGTAAACGTGAAAATTAAGTACACAAGTCTCTCTTTGCATACAAGTAGATTGTCGTTGATGTTGACGATAGATTGCGTATATCTATACGAGAACTTGATAAATGGTTGGTTTTTTAAGTTACTTTAAATCATCGAGTGACTTTATTGAGGTCAAGCAGATGGACAGGAGCCTATGAAAGGAATGAAAGAGGAGCCAGTATAAACTTTATCTTATTTTATGAACTAAGTTTTTTTTATGATCGGAAATATCACTTCTATTCTTCTTATTTTATACTATAAGTATATGCAATAAGACGCGAGTTTCATAAGCAGCTGCAAAACCTAGGTGGGGAATATCAAAATACTTTGGAATGACAAAAAAATATCTTTCTCTATACCATAGTAAGTCTTAGGAAATGTTTCTCGACTCTATGTTCTTCAAGGCAAAACACTTTAGAATAAAAGTTACGCTTTGCTTCTTTTTGCTTTTCTCACTTGAGCATACAAATGAGATCATATCTACTAGCTGGACACAGAACAACAAATCAGAGACTCCGAGTTAATCAGCAAAAAAGCTGCATCCAAAAGTTATTGAATCCTTAAAAAAAGAGTTTTTGACTTGATCAACACCCTTCTACTTTGCATTGATTTGCTGCTTTCGAAACAAGGCCATTTTCTTCGGAAGCTGAAAAAAGTCCCATATTCTAAAGCAAATAGGCAAGTCTTTGGTCAAAGCACTCCTTTAGTATTTATAGCACATGTTGCTTGATAATATTACATGTGCTGTCTCGAACAAACTAGAGTCTAGTGTGATATTGCAACAACGTTTCTCATCATCATTTTGGAAATCTTGTGAGTCTGGGATATTCTGAGTGGAAATGGTAACAATTTCCTAAGTTTTTCCAACACATCTAACCGAAGCAACAACAATAAGTTTAGTGTTAGAATGAGTTTTTTTAGAAAGATACCAGACTATTCATTACTTGGTTTCTTAAAACCTTATTTCAAGACAGATAGATAGGTAAAGAATCAGGTTTGGATAAATGTGCTGTTTGAAAGAGAGATGTTGATGGTCAGAGAAATAGAAAAACAAAGAGCCCACAGTTAGGGCACGTATTGAAACATTTTCATTCACGTAATCAAACAGAATAGATAACGTAAATCCTCAGGAAGACTTGCACACAGATACTTGGTTGTGTTATGACTGACTGTTTTCGGGAGTTGCTCCATATCTTAGTGGGTCTAAGCCAGCGGTATTTACCCCAAAGACAGTGTAAACTGGTAGAACTATTGGCACTAGAACAGGGTAACTAAAGCAAGTCACAAAAGAAAGACTTTGAATAGGTGATTGTTTCCATTGCATTTGGCATTTTGTATCAGAGCAGCTGTCCCAGTTGGACAGCGTCATCAGCATTTTTTCTTCGTCCGCTTTCTTGTCAGAGTTTGTTGTATTCCTATCTCGATAGTTTGTTTTCAACATATTATCTTTGTAAGAAATCTGTTTTGATTTCAACTGTGCTCAGCAAAACCACAGAGTAAAGAACGAATATTGGCATACCTTTGGCTTCCACTGAAGTTGGGTTTTCAACTCCTCCACAAAGAAAAAGACTCTTCTTGGTGCTTTTGTATGCTCGATCAAAAGATCAGATAAAGTTTCGTCAGTATGAAGTACACGCAGAGGTTTTTTGCTGTTCGGATCCCATAACTCATAGGTGTTGAAACTGAACCAAAACGGACACCATCTGTTCAGATTAACTCTCCAGGATGGTTTGCCGAGAAGCGTACTTTTTAGTGCCCTATCAAATATTTAAGTTTGGTCCGTAAAGTACAAGTCAGGGAACAGTGAATTGCTGTGGCCAATATATCAGATATCTTGTGCACATATGTGAAATATCCGTCAGACTTGTTACAATACATACCAACGAAACTCGTTTATTCGTGGTTCCAGTGGTAACCACAGTTTCTGGATGGTGACAAACTCCAACACCGCATCTCTTAGTATTCCGACTGTAAGTTGTTCATAAGCGAAGTGATCAACTCCTAAAGCAACAGTCTCATGTGGTGGTGGAGGTATATTCGTCATCTTGACGCGAAAGTTTTCAGAAAAGTTCACATACTTCATATTTCTCAAGAGTTTATCGCAAAGCGACGGAATGACAACTTTTGGACCACAAATGATAGAGAAAAGTAATATGTAGGATGCATTTTGACACAACTTTCTGTACAATTCAATCATCTTGTCTATGAAAACTAACTTGGCGTAACTTTGAAGAAGAACTTGAAGTAGTTGATTATTTCTCAATTTTCTGAAATATACTCAAACAAGGAGTACTACTGTGTGAAGTCACGTCTCTTATTATTTGTATCATTTTGTGACCACAAACCTTTGAAACGGTGAACTTGAGTGTCTTTTGGTTTTTGGTCTTGTAAGAATTGAATACAAGTTTAGACAATAATGTCTTGTCGAAGAAACTTGTTATGCTGTTGCCGTGAAACATAGTTTGGCGACTAGTTTGCTCTGGTACAAATAATATGTGGCGATAAGCAAGTTGCATTTTTTGTGCCATTCACAATGAATTGCAAGATGAAAGTCTTTTGTGGACCAAAGAATATGACAGTTAGTGAAATGATATTCTTCTGGTTTTGATGCAGGAGACTTGTATTTATTGAAAACAATGTAGTTATCATGTACAATTAGGCTTTAAGTGATCTCACAGAAAAATGTTGGTTTGGATGGTCTTGACGCGACAGATTGAAGTCTTGTAGAAGGATGGATATGGTTCAATCTAAATAGTCTATTTTACTTTGTGTTCTTCCATACTTAACTTCAAGACCTGAGTAGAAAGATTGGCAAATGTTTATATTCTTCACATTGGAAAATAGTATCAAGAACTTATTTTTTGTTTATTTTTTCTTTGTTTGAACATTTTCATGAACAAAGAGTCATCATGTCAATGCAGATGAAAGCCATAGCTTGGCATTGGACTTGCCAATACTTTGATATCCTTTGACACAAGCCAAGTGCCAGTCTATTTCGTTTGTATTTTCTTGAAACTTTCCACGTTCTAATAAATGTTGTAGCAAGAATTCTTTTCAGAAACTGCAAATACTACGAATCGCTTTTATGGAAACAACTCTAGTTTGCAGTGTTCAAAGAACCATAAGATTATGGCTCTATCATATGCATATGATATCCTAAAGAGATAGGAGTTGGCTCTAGTGAAATTGTTTGTGAGACCCAAACCGTGCAATCTATGTAGGATTACAAATGCTCACTATGAATGAAGAAAATTAATTATGTCATAATGATCACATGTTTACGATGTCCATCAAAAGCATCCACAAAGTAACATAATGAAATGCAATTTGGCGTATAAAGGAAATACCGTATATTTTGAATCGATGGAGAAGAGCGAAATAACTCGAGAAGACTATGGTGAGTTTATAGACGTATCCTGAGCGTATTCTGTTGATAATTGATATTCTAGAGAAACTCAAACTAGAGATTTCAAGAATCGAAGCTGAGAGAGCAAGGTTACAAACAGAGAAGGAAATCTTGTTATATAACATATCTGTTTTATTCCGGACTGCAAGGGAAGAAATAAAGAGAAAGGACTCCACAATAAGTAAGTAGTACGGAAAAGAGAAGATAAAATCACTAAGCAACGCTGTTTATATAGCTAGTCTGCGGAAATCTTTGGAGAAATATGAACGACCTTCTTGTCAATAATAATAATAATAATAATAATAATACTTCTCATAAACGAACACTTGGCGGTCCATACGAATTGTTTATCAACAGCTTTCTGTATGAGTACAACTATATCTCTTTTTGCTATTTTCCTTTTTAAGAAATAAGATGCTTGCTTTCAAGTACGAAAGCAATGATAATGATGTTACTTTTCAATCTCGGTACACAAGTTGAGATTGTCAACTCATTACTAGGATAAGGTTGGTTCACTGCTAGGATAATCACTCTTAACATTATCCAAACTCTCGCCTTTCAAGTTCATTTACTGGGAGCCAACTTGAGAGTAGCAAAAGATGAATGATATCTCAAAACTATATTTTATTATTTGAAACAATCAGCCACTCATATCATTCCTAAATGACTTGGATTTCCATATTTGTCTTGAAGAAGCCGAAATACGGCACGCATTCCCATGGCCTCACCACCTTCAGGTTTTCCAGGTTTTGAAGCTAAATTATACGCCATGATATCAAAATGAATCCACGGAACAGAACAAGTAACAAACTCCTTCAAATACAAGGCTGCTAAAATAGCACCTCCATAGCCTCCAGTACTACCTTCTCCTGAATAATTGTCGCTGTTTAACAAAACTTTATGACATCAATAGAGATACTTACCTATATTTTTCAAGTCCGCAAGTTTCGAATCTAGTTGTGCACGATATCCAGAATACAAAGGTAATCTCCAAACAGGATCATCTACTTGAACAGCAGCTTCACCAAGTTTCTCTGCGGTCCGATCATTGTTACTGAAGAAAACTGCTACATCTGTCCCGAGAGCTACTCTTGCTGCACCAGTAAGAGTTGCAAAATCAACAATAAGTTCTGGTGAAAATTCACATCCATAAACGAGGGCGTCTGCAAGGATCAAACGACCTTCCGCGTCCGTATTACAAACTTCCGTAGTCAAACCATTTCGAGCTTTTATAATATCACCAGGTCGATAAGACTCTCCATCTACGGCATTTTCAACTGCAGAAATAATAACACGCAAATGAATCGGTAGCCTAAAAGAATTATAAGATAACAATAGTCACAAGCGCCCAGACAAACATACTTAGAAGACAATATCATTGAAGCGAGTCCAAAAGCATGAGCAGCTCCACCCATATCTTTCTTCATAAGTCTCATACCTGAAGCAGATTTAATATCAAGTCCGCCACTATCGAACGAAACTCCTTTTCCTAACAAGCAAACAGTTGGTTGGTTTGGATCCCCAGCAACAAGTTCAATCATCCTGGCTCGGTTCTTATTACTGGCACCACGACCAACCATATAGATTTGAGGAAAATTCTCCTTGATCAAGGCTTCATCAATGACAGAACGCACAGTAGCTCCTGGATACTCTTCAGCCAAAAGACGTGCAATATTCTCAACTGCAGAAGGTCCCATATCCTCTGCTGGTGTGGAAATCATGTCTCGAACCAGAAAGGTAGCAGAAGCACAAGATTCTACTAGCTTTCTGTCACAGTCATCAGGCCATATGAGAACTGGCAAAAATGCAGGATCTAGTGTACTTTCGGAAACGACAGCGTTATTCTTTACTGCACTAGCTCCTTTATAGATTGGGAAACTGTAGGCACCTAAAGCCCAAGCAAAGGCGGCACGTGTTGAAGTAAACCCTTGTTCAATTACTTTCTCGGATACAAATCCCATTTTGTATAAGCCTGCAGGAGCTGCATTCGAAAGGCAAGCAAATCCCATCCAGCGACAACCTCCGAAGCTGGTACCATCACCCAAAACAACCACAAGTTTTTCTATTTTCCCTGGAAAGTTTACGGAAGGTACGGCTATCCAATTGGTTTCCTTCCCCTTGAAAGGAACAAAAGAATTGGAATGAAGCCAAGCTCTCAAAGACGAGGACTGCGTTTCTAAATATTTTTCCAGCTCTTCCTTAAGTACGACGTCTATATTTGTAGCCAAACTGGCATCTCTAGTATCTGAAAAATGTTTCAAAAATCTGGATCTATTCTTCACAATAAAATTGGTTGGTTCTTCTCTGTACGCGGCCATATTGATTGGCGTCAACGATATAGTCCTTCTAATAAACGCAGCTCTCCTATTTGTGTTCCAAAAATAGCTCTTTGAAGATCCACGAAATAGGTTGCTTTGGCAGGAAACTCGGACAAAACTCGACTTGCAAAAGCAATAGCCGCCAAGCAACCAACGACCCAAAACAAATGCAGCACGATTCATTTTTGGAATAATGAAACGGTTCATCACGGAGTCGTCTGAAGGAAGCTTTCTAAGTTGCATTTCCAACACGCTAGAACAACACTTTACGAAAGAATACATAAAAGTAAATATTTCAGTATCAATCTGACTTGTTTTTTTTACGTATGAACTTTGAAAGATGTGTAAGGATAATAGGAAAGATGACTATCCTTCATAATTGCTATTGACCATCGTTCTTGAGAAACGTAATGGACTCATAAATAAATACTTTGCTCGATATTATGATATTCCATCTTAGAAGAATGAAAATAGATAAGGCATTCTCTAACTTAAGAGTGCTATGTCTATCAGAGATTCAAATTTCAAAACAACTTCAGCTTTAATGACTTAACTACACCAAAATATTACTAATAAGAATGCGGATGAAACCAACTTCTCTTCCAATCTACTACTTTCCAAAGCCAAGTAGCAAAGGAACGAAATAAACGACCTCGAACCTTTAAAGGTATTCCCACGAAAGAAAGAAAATAAAACAAAAACCAAAACAAAAATAAAGACAATGCCTTGGAAAAAATAGAAGGCTTCGGATAGGGAACACTTTCCAAAAATTCAATATATCTTCTATCAAGATTCCAGTGCTTCGCACCAGAGACTAGCAAATCTCGATAACGTTTGGAAGGAATCGCGCACTTCGGACAAGGTTCCAAATGCTTCTTATCCGTCACAATGAAAACGTTCGCAGTCACTTTTCGCTGATTATATTCTTCAACTTCAAGTAACTTCACGTCATAAGTGAATTCTGACTGTCGTAGCCTTAAAAAATCTTCTTGTTTCAGTAAATAACACACGCCGTGGACACAACTATCTTTATCGGGAACTATATTACCAAAACCAGGTTCAACTCCAGGAACGCCCCTCAAGTTGAAAACTAACCTATTCGCATATTCAATAGCGCCAAAAAGTAAGGAGAAACACTTACTTCCAACCTGACAATTTTGCAGGAAAAGCTTCCTTTGGAAAACAATTTCGTTGGTTATATCTTCCTTTGGCTTTAGGACCAAAGGCATCAGGGCTCATATTTGCTCCAAAAGAAAAGTAATATACATCCTCCTGCTGTGTTGTCATCTTCACGTGCCACAAAAAGTTGTACTGACATTGAAATTTATCACATCTTGAGTCATTCTTGAAAGCTCCCATTCATTTATTACACTTATGGACAGTAAAGCCAATAAAACTAAATGATAAACCCAAACATAAACTAACACTTCAACTAACACTTACGTCTAACGATGTCACTGTCTTCTCATGACCTAGAAATTCCTGTAGAAGAAGTCGCTTTTCCCAATTCCATAACAGAATCTTTTTATCAGAGGATGCAGAAACTAAATACTTGGTTTCAGGTAGAAACTGACAATCCCAAACCCATTTTTGGTGCCTACCAAGAGTAACTTGTTGTTGCCATCTGCTTTCATTATATGCGTCAGGATTGTTCTTGTCTCCCCATAACTTAATGTCGCCATCTTCATTTGCATTTGCCAAAAGTAAACCTTCATCCGATAAACTTGCTTTTAGTACATATCTCTTTGTGGCGCGGAGTTTGGTTATCTTTTCAAAATATCCCTTTGCTTCGTGTTCAACTTCATAATTGGACTTTCCATATACATAGGTATGTTCAACTCGAAGACTTGCAGAGGCCTTTTTTGGTCTCAACAAGCTTATATATACAAATCCAGAGCTTCCAAACATGATGAAGAGTGAATGGGCTCTTTCATAAAGAAATCCTGTGAGAATAGAAGAGTCACGAGTCTTCAATCGACCGGATTCTTTCTGGGTCGCAATGTCCCATATCCTTGCAGCCCCACTGTAGTCTGAAGTGATTATCTCTGATTCGTCTCTTCCATAACATATGCAACTGAAAGGAAACGAACTCTTCCAACTCTGTAGTGGAGAGATGATTCGAAGGTCCCACAAACCTAGGGACTTGTCTTCAGAACAAGTAGCTATGAATGGACCATGATCTTTAAAAGCCAAACAAGTAACATTGTTGCTATGAAAATTGATAGTATGCACACTTTTTTCTGTATTGGTTCTCAAATCATAGAATTCCACCAATGGGTTACCACAGACAGCTAAGAGCCTTCCATCCAAGGAGAACTTGACTTGGTTTATATGTGAGGAATGAAAAGGAACACTTCTTATCGGTTTCGCTGTTTTCAAGTCCCAAAAGCGAATACTATGATCGTATCCACCAGAAACTAGCGTTTTAGGAGTTTTCATGCAAAATCTCAAAGTTATAGAAAAAGCAACAGAACCCCAAACATATTTGGACAACGGACACGTCAATCGCAAGTCTTCGGTGGCCAACAGAAAAGATCGGAAAAATTAAATTTCCCGCCAAATGAATTTGAAAGAGGGTTCTTTGCTCTCTTTCGAAGCAAAACTAGACGACCGTAAATACCTTTATCTTAATAACCAATCATCAAGAAAATATGTCCAAAAAAACTCTAATCTGTTGAAAATATGCTACAGAAGCCTTAAACAGAACTATGTAAGCATTTTGAAGGAATAACGCTTCTAAGCTGACTGCTTCCAAAACTATTAAAGATAGAGCTGGCAGAAACTATAATTGAAACAATTTCTTTATAAATTAGTGCATAAATAGTTCTGTCTGACTAAGCGTCGAGATTTTACTCCTGCAAAATACGGCGAATAATAATCCTTTCAAGTTCGTTACTGACACCTACTAAAAGCATATAAGGCATTGGTTATATGCAACAATAAATCGTTTTCAAAATACAATGTTAGACCATGTGGAAAAGAAGATCTACATGAACACCTTGGAAAGTCAATAAACGACTAGGGCTTATAATTAAGTTCTGGTCTTGTCAATTCACTGCTTGGTACATCTAACACTTTACAAAAAGCTTCCAAGCGTTCCACATAACGCAAGAGAGCATTCATGTCTTCTCTTAGGAGGCCAATTGTTTCCTCCTTTTCGCGAACTTCTTGTTCAAGAGTTTGCATGCGCTGTCTTTTGCGGTTTCTAGACCTCTCAGCAGAAAGACGGTTCCTCATCAGTCGAAGTGCGTGTTTATCTTTTTCAGAAAGTACTTGTGATGATAGTTTTGACGTAGAAGAGGAAGCTAACATAGAACGTGGATCGATAGAGGCTATAGGTTCTTCCACAGAGTGACTATCGAAACTACCTTCTCCGATCTCCTTCCAGTCTGAAGAACTCACAGAAACCGTTTTGCCAGTTGGTTTCCTCTCTTCTAATATGGATGAAATTTGTAACCGAGGAATTTTAGAAAGTTCTCCAACAGTGCTAGAACCTGCTTGAAGGTATCCCAAAGAAGCATTCAGTGTATTCTAAAGAAAGCAGCTTCACATACCTATGAAAAGTTTCTTGGAAGATTCTGAATATCCAGAACTACCTGTTACTCCTAAACCAGCATAGCCTCCAGTTCGTCTTTCAGCTACTTCTTCCTTAAGTTCTGTTGTTTTACTAGTCACAGAATATTCTCCCGCTTCTAAAGTTTTCCGTGTCCCCGAGAAGTCCTTTACAAGTTGCTTTGCACTTGCCGTTGGTCGCACGCATCTTTCAGAGTAAATCGTCGTAGATTTCAATGGAGGCATTTGAAAACCTCGTACTACGTCTTCCGAAAGAAAATGCGGAAATAGTTCATACTCTTGAGAGCTTTTTTCTGTCGTTTTGAGTTCTGCTTGTTCAGGCAGTGGTTGAATAGAAGAACTTGCTTTCCAACTTGGTTGATACTCAGAGTGGACCCTTGATTTGTCTTGTTGAAGTGTAAATGTTTTTGTCCTTTCGCTTTCAGTGGAAAACTGCTCCTTTTCTTGGTACAATACAGTAAGAATAAAAGCACTCATATGCACTTGATTTTACCTTTTAGAATCGTTCCAATCGAAGGAAGTTTCAGTATAGGACTTTGCATATCTTTTCCTTCTTTTTCTCTTTCAGACTCTGGAGAACCTTTCGTTGTAGTGGACGTTGTCTCTTGGAACATTACAGTGACGTCATATGGGAAATGGTGGATATTTGTTCCACGGCTATACAGGATGGGTATTTTTGTACGTATTTGTAAGCCCGTCTCTATATAAGCAACGTTTAATCAGTTTCATAAGATTGCTTCGCATTTCTGACCTAGGTTTGGCTGAAGAGTGAAGGACGGCTGACAACCACGAAATGGATTGTGTCTACGTTTTTCCGAATAGAATTGGTTGCGCACCCAAATTGCATAATCGAAAAGTCTTCTCGTGTCGAAAAATTTGGGAAAATTTGAACCAAGAAATAATGGATTATCAAAAGTCATCGTTTCTTTAATCACTCAAGCTGAGCAACACACTCAAATTCTACAAGAGCACCTTTTGGAAGCTCTTTCACGGCAAAACAGGATCGAGACGGATAGGCACCATTATTGAAAAATGACTTGTAAATCTCATTCACTCGTTCAAAGTCTTCAATATTTTTGAGTAATACCAATGTTTTCGTTACTCGTTCTGGAGTTGCACCTGCTGCTCTTAAAATGTGTTTCATATTGGATAATGCCTATCAGAATAATTAAACATTTCCATTCCAAAAACATTGCCAGATACTTGCCTGTTTAGCTTGGCCTACTACTGTGCTATCGATCAAGGAACCAGTTTGAGGATTAAGACCTGCGCAATGGAGTGTAAAAGAAGTTTGAAACAAGAAAGATAATAACAACGCACCAATGCATCCGCTAACATAGATCGTTCCATTATCCAGCACAATACCCTTGAAAATGTCAACTACAACATTCATTCCAGTCGTTTCACTTACCTGATGATATGGACCAACTGCTGCAGCAGCGAGATTGGTTTGCACAGGAGTTAGTCTTCTTGGCAAAGCTGCGGTTACTTGCACTTCAACCAGGAGTTCAGGACGAACCTATTCAGACATGAGATATCACGACAAGAAACAACATGTAAATAAATACCAATTTTGCTTCCACAGTGGCACGAACAGGTTTATTGGTTGAGTCAATCCAAGAATTCCACGCTTCGTTAAACTCTGCAACGTGCTGTATATCCTTCAGCCAGACGTTTGCAGATAACAACCTGGTCTTATCCGTTCCTTACCAAACGATATCAGAAAATACAACAAAGATTGAAAAAAATGTTACCTGCAACCTTTAAAAGTTGATCGATTCTAGCGAAAATCTGCTCTGCTTGACCCTTCACAGTCTGATCGGAAGTGTCGGGCGCAACCTGACCAGCAAGATAAGCTACATCGTTATAAGTTACCTGGAAAGATAAAAGTTGAGTTGAAACATAAGAAAACAATTTTCAATACCATTTGATTGAAAAGAGGACCTTCTTCATATCTCTTTATGGAAGATTGACTGACAACATCTGATCCAGTCAAAGTACTGCTCATCCTTGGGACTGTCGAAGACTTTCCACGACTTATCGAGGGCAACAAAAAATTATTGCAGAAGTTTAGCTGTACTTTACACGTGTAGAGAAGCTGAGACTTACGAATCGAGCTGTGGAACGTAAACAAGACCTAGTTTCCTTCTAGAGGAATTAAGGGCAGACGGTCTGAACTGAGTTACTTTGAAAATAGTCCTGAAACGACTCGAAGTATATACTGAAGATATTGGAGAATAGTTTGCAAAACCAGAAACTCCAAAGTGAAAAGCAACAGCAGTTGAGTAACACAATAAACGGTAATAATGAAGAGAATCGATTTCGATCATGATAGGCTGATTTAGGATATGCGTGTCCAGTTTATACGATATTATCGTCATTACATAAAACTGCAGATTTTAAAAACTCTTTGGATCCACTCTCTCAATTATATTTTAAAGCATTTTTTCACATTCAACAACTCTTCTACTGGATGGCAACTTTTGCTTTCCATTTTTTTCAACCAGAAAACAAAGCTTCTATGTCCAAGAAGAAGAGTTGACATAAATAATGAAAAGAAACGCTTTCTCAAATCAGGTCAACATCACATTTGTCAATGTCCGAAAAAAGTCGCTTGGAAAATGGAACAACAGAATTGGAGTTTGGCTACCTACTGTGTAGCACCTCACGTTGCGGGAACTGCGACTCTACAGGGAGCTAGATTGACAGACTTTGGAGGGCTTTCGGTTCCGATCCATACAAGCTCCACCTATAAAGTAGATTCTGCTGAGCAAGGAGCAGTTCTTGCCAGTCGCAAGGGCTGGCCTGAGCTTCGTAAGGATGGTTCTACAGCAAAGGATGAATTCTTCTATTCAAGATGGCGAAATCCTACTGTCGCGGCGGTTGCTGCTCACCTAGCAGCTTTGGAACGGGCAGAAGGTTGCTTGCTATTTGGCACTGGAATGGCAGCCATAAGTACTTCCGTTTTAAGTGCGGTGAAAGCTGGAGATCATATTATATCTCAGTCCTCCGTCTATGGAGGCACTTTTCATCTATTCTCTCACTACCTTCGGGAAAGTTTTGCCGTCCAAGTCACGTTCGTCAATATTGAAGATTTGAATACTCTCGAAAGATATATAAGGCCGAATACTAAAGTCATCTACGTAGAGTCTCCAAGCAATCCTACGCTGCGTTTAGTAAATTTGGAGCATATTGCATCTATAGGAAAGAAGCATAGTCTGTATATTTTTGCTTTGTTTGTTTTGCTCTGACGTTTACAACTATTTAGATATTTTGACGATAATCGATAGCACGTTGGCAACTCCTATCAATCAACAGCCACTAACACTAGGAATCGATGTGGTTGTACACAGTGCGACAAAATTTTTGAGTGGACATTCCGACCTCACTGCAGGAGCTGTATTGTCCAATTCGCAAGACTTCTTGAAACAGGTTCTCTTCTTACAACAGACTTTGGGTTCGACATTGTCACCGTTCGATGCATTTTTGTTGGCCAGAGGATTGAAGACTCTACATTTAAGAGTTTCTCATCAGAATAATGCGGCTTTAAAGATTGCTCATTTTTTGGACACTCATCCTAAAGTAAAGGTGGTCCACTATCCTGGTCTTTCATCACACAAAGATTTTCATTTGGCACAAAGGCAAATGTCAAATGGTTGCGGAGGTAAGAGATAAGTCGAATAGAATGTTGTATACTCAGTTTTCAAGGTTTGCTGAGCTTTGAGTTACTCGGAGGGAGAGAAGATGGTCGAAAGGTTATCGAGCATCTTCAAGTAATTAACTTAGCAGTGTCTCTTGGTAGTGTTGAGTCGCTGGTTGAACAGGCAGCCACAATGACTCATAGTCAACTAAACAAGGAAGACTTGTCCGAAGCAGGTATTGACGAGAGCCTCATAAGGCTATCAGTTGGGATAGAAAATGTAGATGACCTGATTGAGGACTTGAGACAAGCACTAGAGTATGTATAAACATTCGAATAGACAACTCTAGCCAGCGTCCCTTTTCAAGTTAACAGTATACTATAAAGAGTTTATTATATCATTAGAAAATGTATACTTTGTAGTTGGCCTTGAACGATTATAAGTAGACAGGGACAAAGGACTTTGATTTCACGTGGCGCGTTTTGAGGAATCCCACTTTAACGCGCCAAATTTAAAAAATTACTTATAGATCGTTCTCTCTCTGCCTGGTTTTCCTCCAACGCCTTTCAATGGACCAAAGCTTCCTCGAAGGTGAGTGAAAGATTGTGTAAATTAGCTCAGTTATTTAAGCTTTTTAAGGTGGATGGCTTGGAGGTTTGGATAAAGCTTCACTGAGGGAACCTCTGAAGCCAAAGGACAACAACGGCTTGGTTGCCAGTTCAAATTGTTTCCTTTCAAACTATGAACATTCAAGTGACGAAAAACAAAACCACTCTGGTTCAAAGAAAAACTCGACTTGTATTCAAATGATAGACAAGTCCGTTCTTCGCGAGATATACGATACATACTCCTTTCGGGGTGGTGGTTTCGGTTATAGGCGTCCAGGTATGACAGTGGAAGGTTTTCGAGCAGTTGTAGTGGACGCAAAACTGTTTGGAAAAGACGATATTAAGGCAAGAAGAGAAGCTGAGCTAGTTACTTCCGCTATTTTATCGAAGAGTGCAACCAATTTAGACTTCGACCAGTTTGTCAGAGCCCTAAGCAAACTAGGAAAGCGTATTCCTTGGTCCAAAATCAAGGGAGAAATTGCAGAAGCAACTCATTTGAGCTCAGAGGAAAAAGTGTTTGTGACAATATGTCAAACTCTTAAGGGCAGTGAATATGAAAGGAATAGAAATGCGTCTCCCGTACAAACATCGCAAAGTCCAATGAGAGAGCGGATGGCTTTTGGAAGGGCATGTTTCTCTTCTCCCAAGAGTGAAAGAGAACGACGAAACTCAATTTTCAAATATGCCGCGAAAAAGAATCCGCTGTGTTTACTTATTGAAAAAAACCAAAAAGCCTTCCAGGTTATATTCACTCATTACATGCATCGCGAGACAGGAAGTTCCGCTTACGAATCGAGATGTAGCTCAACACCAGGAATTTCCACAAATGAACTACGAAAATTTGCTCAGGACTTTGGAGTCTTCCCAGACTTTATGCAGCTTGAAGACCTCCGGGAAACAATGCTGGATGTAACTAGTAACTCCGAAATTTTGTCCACTCCTGGTAGTGCAGCAACAGGAAATTATTCAATAATTACGACTTGCGAGCAATTTACCGTTTGTCTCGTTATGATAGCTTATTACGCATTTGGGGAGCAGCCTATTAAGGCTTTCGAAGAGGTGATAGAAGTAGATCCGAATGAAGCGACTGAAAGGTTACTGTCGCTGTTCCGAAGAATGAATTTCATGAGAGAAAAACGACCCGCTCCACCAATGCCTGTTAATTTTGTACGCTTTAAAGACCTTGAAAACTGCACACCATCTGGATCGACTCCTGTGCGCAAAAGACAGGTCTCTGTATCTAATTCTCCTCAGAGTTCAGCTGAGCGTGTCCGAAGAGGTTTCAATGCATCGAGAATTTTGTTTGGAACCGATAGTGAGTCAATAACAAATGACCCCGGAGTAGCGACCAACTCTATCAATAGGAAACTAGAGAAACAACTTTCGGTAAGCGTTTCATGAAATAGCACTGAGTACCACATTTGAACTGCGCTAGGGTTCTTGCGAAGAAACACCAGTTTCAGAAAAAGACTATACTCCTGTTAATGATTGGCATTCGAGTTACAGTAGCACCGATCGCATGTCACGCATTTCGACAGTGAAGGAAAGACTTTCTGCCCTTTCAAAGAGTAGCATCTCTCCAGAAACTTTTACAAACTCTGAATCAAAGGAGAACCACGCCCCAAGTTCTGCAGGAACAGCAACAGAAAATGTGAGTACACTTTTCAAGTGTCAAATGCACAGCTTAAAATAATGTTTTCATTCAGTCACCTTTGGCAGAAATTACGCTATCTATTGGGAAGAATACCCCCTCGGCTCCTCTGATCGGAAGGCCTCAACCTTTTGCAAAGACTGCGTTTCATAGTTCTCAAGCTTGGAACGATGACGAATCTAGTGAAACTCTAAGAAGTTCGGATAACAAAATTGCAAAAGCTACAGGTCGATTGCAGATAGGTAAAACGCCACCATTTTCCATTTTGCCTTATCAAAACGACTTGAAGAATTACCAAACTTCAGAACAAAGTGAACTTCAGGTATTTTAATGTTCTCGAAGCCAACAAACGGAAACTAATGAAGTTAGGATCTCACAAATGAGATTCGAGAAGCTAACAGATGCTTAGAAAAAGCTACAGCAGAGCTCGAACTGTCACCGTTTCTCACAGATGATTATAAATTTTCTCCTGGAGAGGCTCTGTTTGACGATATTGATTTTTTCTCCGAAATGTTCCCTTCAGCGCGTAAACAAGGGGTCGAGGAATTTGTCAATACGGTGACTCCCTCACTTTACTTACGGTCTTTGTCGAAGACGGAAAGGTTTGCCAAAAAGAGAGATAACTCAGAAGATTTAGGCACTTCGGACCAAGCAAACAGCATAAAGCAACTGCTTTCCGACTTTGGAAAAGAACAAACTGAAGAGTTGAGTCTAGAAGGAGGAAGCGGTCGAACCAAAAGGCGCTCACAGCTCAAAGTAACGTCTATTTGGAGTCAGAGTTTTGTGCTACTATTACAAATGGTAACGAGGAATCTTGCTTAGCTCCGTATTCCACTCAAATTCTTATTACAGGTTATAATGATGTTATTCTTCTTGGCTTATGCCTATACGTTTGGTATTATCGGTTATGACCCAGTCGTTGATGAACCTTTTTTGTCTTAATTGCTCACAATAAACATGTTGTCCAATTGTGCATTTTCAGTTGTTGAATAGAATGGCTGGATTTCGTGTGGCAGTTATTGATTGTCAGCCTTTACCAGAAGTAGTTCAACAAGTCACGGGAGAAACGAACTTTACTGGGTGTTTCCAGGCACTATTTGATAAACTAGTGGAAGAGAGAGGTGGACCGCGACTCCAAATGGTCTCCTTCAACGCTCAACAAGGTTGCCTTCCTGGACTCAACGAAGGTTTCCACGCTTTTTTAGTGACTGGGTCCTTTTCCGCAGCCTATCAAGTGGTTCCTTGGATTGAAAAACTCCGTCAGTTTCTGCTAAATACATATCAGACAAGCCCAATTACCTTGGTTGGAATTTGTTTTGGACATCAGATGTTGGCACATGCGTTGGGAGGGCTTTCCAAACCTAGTAAAAATGGTCCAGAAGTTGGTTTGAGTACATTCACCTTGAGTTCGGAAGCAAGAAATCTGCCTGTGTTTGCTCAGCAGTGGAGGCAGCTGCAAAAAGTGAACCTTATTGCCATCCATTCAGACGAAGTTGTTGAGTTGCCCAGAGGAGCTATTTCACTTGGAAGTAATGATCACTGCCTATATCAAGGCATGATATTGCCGTGTCGAGTACTAAGTTTTCAAGGTCATCCTGAGTTCAGTGCAAAACCAGAAGTTTATGAAGCCATCTTAACTCATGTCGCCAAATTTCCAGAAGAGATCAAATCTCAAGGCCTTGAAGCCTTAACTTCTTCTTTTACGGACCATATTTGGGTTGCTTCGTGTATTCGAGATTTTATCCTTCAGAAAACGTTAATTCCAGAGTGACTTGCCACATAGCTACAGAAGAGCAAGGAAGACGACGCTAACTACCAAACATACTGTAACCGCTGTTGAAATCCAAGGTCCGATTATTTCCACTGAGAATTGACGGTTTTCAATAAGCTTCATAAGTTTGTAGTAACGAACAGCAGCATAGGTGGAGCAGAAAGCCCCGAGTGCAATTAAAACGAACGAAATAACTCTTCCAACCAAATTCTTTTTCAAAAAGTCCACAACTACTAGTCCGAACCCCATAATGGTCAAGGAAGTCCGTACCCATGCCAACCAAGTTCTAAAAAAGCCTAAGTGTTGTACTTGTACTGAAAATATTCCAACCAACCTTTCGTTGGCAAGGTGGTCCCTTGCTAAGGATCCTTTGATGGGTTCATAGTGATAATGAAGCAGATTTTCAAGTTCACTTAGGTGTATATAAGGAAAGGTATGATAGTTTCTGGAAGAAATATCAGTTTCTTGGTTTGTTGTTTGCTGTAGAGAAGAAAAAGTTGTTGGGTGGTTCATTCCAGTCATCACTCCGCAAAAGTCCCAAAGTGAATAATGAGAAAAGTCTTGTATGAAAAGTTATCCACATTCCTTTATTTGCTGTCGGTCATTCTCCTTTCAGACTTCCTATACGATACAGGATCCAATCGAACGTTGGATGGAAAAGTCTTTCTGATATAGTCTTCGATCATACTGTTGTGATATAGTTGCTCACGGTGGATTCGCTCGTACCACGCAACTACGTCAATTACTTTTTTGTTGCGAAGATTATGATATGCATCACTAGGCAACACAATTCCTGTTGCATCTTGCAGCTTACGAATAAGTTTCACTCGCAATTGTACTCTATCCTTTCCTTCTAGTTTACAAGAACCCAGTTTTTTGCTTAGCGTATCTAACTGAGTGCTCCATTCTTCCTTCAGTTCTTCAGGTACTTCACTTTCTTGGATTACATAGTCATTACCATAAGGTTCTAACAGTTGTTGGACGTAAGGATCGGAAAGAAAGCTTACGACGGAAAAAGCTTTGGTTTCTTCGGAGTTGGCGAGCTGTAACGTAATTTGTTTTTCTTGTACTTTCTGTGTACCACTGTGGTTACAGAATCCTTGTTTTGGAAGAAGTCTCTGAATAAGTTTCCAACTTGGCATACCATATTTTATCAAAAAAGAGTAGTTGGGTTGCATGTGGATCCAAAATTGCACAGCCCCAAATGAAAAGTGACATTCTTCATGTCTTTGTTTCCTTTTACTTGAAAAAGGGGAAGTCATCCAATTCCTATTCATCATTCGATATAATCCATACGGAATCCACACCAAAGTCTTTCATAGTATACTTTAAAATTTCATTTTCCAAAGCAGTCACAGGACAAGAAAACGATGCACTTGCACAAGAACTTGGTTTCGTTCGATTGCACTTGTCAAGTATCAAACAGTTGTATCAACACAAAGAATAGTTCATTTCTTACCAATTGATTGCCTTGGGTTTTCGACAGACAAGGATAACGAGATGATGTACACCACCAAGACTGTCGATAACCTCTCGGCTGTTTCAATGAATAGTTCGTTGAATGCCACTCTTCACAAACACAAGCCACTGAAGCCAATTCATTCTCATCATGATTGACCGTCATCCACTTTCCCGTGCTCAATTTTGTACAAGAATGTCCCTTTACCCATCGACTGGTTTCTTCTAATGTTGAAAAACTCCATTCAAATATTTCAAGTATACGAGTCCATGAAGAAAGATTCGGAATATCTACACGACTAACGTAATTTTAGTTAGTAAAAACTTGTTGTTCAATACAATGCCTTGTACACTCACAAACTGTAACCACATTGGACAGCATCTTTTAACAACTTCCATGCTCGATCAGTCAAATGGCCTTCCCAAACCATTCTACTAAAGAAAGGAAAATAGACATGCTTCGGTTCTTCGGATTCTGATAAACTTCGTATAGCACATCCCAACCATTGCTCTTTTTGAGAACTTTGTTGAAAAGCACTCGAATCTTGTTTCTTCATTATTTGTTCATCTAATGGCTCCAAATACTGCAACTGAGAAAATGGCCATCGAATGTTGGAAAGATCGGGAAAAATAAATGAGTTTTCATCCACAACTGTGTTATCTATACGACTGTCGATAATTAACTGCTTTCCCATTTTCAATAATTGTCGAATACTAGGCCAACCGTCGTATGAGTCTGAAGATATGCCATTGTTGAATCTCCATTCTTTCAAATCCTGTTGAGAAAATGCCAAAGAATGACTCCAATTTTGAACCCAATTGTTCAACGCCATTCCAGCAGCTTCATCGTATATAAAGGAATCTAAATAGAGAAACACAAACTCATCGGGATATCTCCGTAGCCAGTCCATAATCTCACGAAAAGCCTTTTCCAAAGTGAGTGCATGATGAGAGCAACCACGATGTTCTTTTCCATAATCTGGAAAATGTTTCAAGCATATCAACGATAACCAAAAACAACCATCACCACAAGGATGACAAAGACGAAAGGCTGAACTATCTGTTTTTGAGGTAGTATTTGTGTCATTCATTTGAGGAATGTAATGAACATCAAGTTCCAATAAACGGAAACCTCTATCCAACTGTTGTGTTAAAGAAAGAAAATGTCTGGGAATTTCACCATTGTTACACAAGTTGTATCCATAGTGAGTGGAGCAATAAGAGTTGTGTGTGCCTGCTACTTGTACAGCTGGTAGTGGAACATCCTAATAAAGTCAGGTGTGACACTTCATATTACTTGAAATCTTACTTTATACAGAGACTGTTGCTGGTATAACAGGGGAATCAGTTGTTGTTCACTCGAGTCACGAGAAATAAAAAGAAACAAACCGATAAATAACAAAGGCCACAACTTGAACAACTTGAAGTTATTATCTAATCTAAAAAGAATGCTGAAGAACCAACTCATGACAGAACAAAGCTTGTAAAAAGAATCCTAATAACATATCGAAGCCAAATCAATGCGAATCGACACGTCTAATGGTAATGAACAAAAATTGGCCACTGGATGAAATCGATTGGAAGCGAATAAGCAAACACTTTTTATTTAAGCAATCGATCGTACGAGTTCTCTACCAATCAGAATTCTTCTAATTTCTGAAGTTCCTGCACCAATCTCATATAGCTTAGCATCTCTTAATAGACGACCAGTAGGATACTCATTGATATATCTAGATAAGGTTTAGGTCTTTGAAACTTTGGAATACATAGCTTCATTTACCCATTGCCTCCTAAACATTGAATAGCTTGCAATGCCATTTGAGTGGCTTTCTCAGCTGCATACAAAATAACTGCTGCACAATCTTTGCGATCCAAAACGCCATTATTCATATCACCGGCGCGGGCAGTACTAAAAGTATAAGCTCTACAAGCTCCCAATTCGGCATACATATCGGCTACTTTGGCTTGAATAAGTTCAAACTCTCCTATCGGCTACAGAATAAAAATTCGTTGGCATTTTTAAAAAGATACTTCAAAGCTTATTCCAACCTTTCCGAATTGCTTCCGCTCTCTTACATACGGCAATACAATATCTAAACACGCTTGCATAATTCCAAGAGGACCAGCAGAAAGAACCAAACGTTCCGAATCCAAACCACTCATAAGAACATAAACACCTTTATTTACTTGTCCTAATACTTGACTGGCGGGAACCTGAAAGAAAATGTCAATCGGAACTTTTGAGATACTATTAGAAACTTACCACGCAATTTTCAAACACAAGTTCACAAGTATTTGAACCACGCATTCCTAATTTATCCAACTTTTGAGCAGTTGAAAAGCCTTTCATTCCCTTTTCTATCAGAAACGCGGTAATTCCTTTAGAGCCTGCTTCAGGATCGGTCTTTGCATAAACTACTAATACGTCTGCATCTGGACCATTGGTGATCCACATCTTGAAAAGTATCCAGGTTCAACTATACCACAACAGAACGAAAGAAGTACCAACCTTGTTTCCTACACAATAATCCTTTAGTTGCTACATTCCTTGACTGAAATCTCTTACCATTCAAGGTAAAAGTCTTTTGATCGGCACTGGGTACTGCTCTGCATTGCATAGAAACAACATCCGATCCGGCCCCTGGTTCACTCATTGCCAGAGCGCCAATCTTCTCTCCTGCTATTAAACCGGGGAGATATTTTTGTTTTTGTTCTTCATTTCCATTTCTTACAATTTGGTTTACACACAAGTTGGAGTGAGCACCGTAAGAAAGACCGATTGAACCACTTGCTCTACTCAATTCTTCCATAGCAATACAGTGTTCTGTATAACCGAGACCCAAACCACCGTACTGCTGTGGTGCTGTTATTCCTAATACTCCTAACGAACCCAACTGCTTCCATAAGTGATTAGGAAACTCGTTTTTCCTATCTACTTCAGCGGCAATGGGTGCAATGACGTCTCCCGCGAATTTTCTCACACTTTCTCTCAAAGCTTTCTATAAAAAAAAACTTTGTCAAACAAGTTTTGAAACAAATACAACTCCCTTTACCTGTTCGGAATCCAAGTTTACCACGTTATCACAATGGGTAGCTACGAAAGAGAACAGTCTCTTCTGAAACCAGCCAACACGATAAGATACAAGTTTCAAGGTACTCCTCTGGAACATCTTTGCTTCGTCAAATGGACATTTTCTCTCCCTACTCTTCCAATCTTTCTAGAATGGACTTTTCGACACATTCTGTCAATATCATAACTTGAATAAAATGCCTAGTACATCTTACAACAATATACTCAACTACAAATAATCTTTTTGCTGTTATGCTCTTCGAAAATTGAATGGAAAATATTTCTTTTTGAATGTTCACGATTTTATTTCAAGTCTCTCATTCTTAGTTCTCATTCTCTTTTACAAAACCTAACTAGAAATAAGTTAATTCCACTTCAAGTTGGGTCATCAGTCAATGGGTGTTGGTATAAAAAAACAAAGTCTTCACTGTCCAGTTGGTGGGACTATCATTATCAGATAGAGCTAATATTGCCATCATTTGACCATAAACATTATCTCACATACCCAATACTATAGCTATTCTCGCAAAATATGTCGTTCAACCATTTCCCAAACCATTGCTTTGGTAAGCACTTGACCCCTATTGTAAAGCTTAAGACATCAGAAGAAAGGGACGTTCCTCATTTAGCATACCGCGCTTTATACTGAGAATCTTGATTGGATACTAAATAATAATAATAATAAGAAGAAGAATCATTCCAACTTTCTGCTTCCATTTTCTCTTGTTTCTCAACTATCAAATCACATCCAAAAAAGGAAACCAAATATGCTGCAGCATCCGTCTCACAAAAATGCTATTAGTTGATAATCAATAAGACTAAATGAGCGACTGTAACAAAATGTTACCCCAAAGTCTTCAACAATAACATGCCAAGAACGAAAAAGACCACCATAATCAATCTCCTTCAGTTCTGGACAGCTCGCAATAACACTCTTTACATCGTCTGGAACACTTTCTGGAATAAACATGTTGCTCAAAAGTTCACGTAACTCTTCTTCATTCACTGCTTTGTGCCACGAATCACCCCAACAATCACAACGTGTTTCTATCTCTTTCCTTAAAGAATCTGTTGCCCATACAACGTGGCAAGGTAGAATTTCTACCATTCTATCTTTTACTTGGCATTCCAACAACTATTTTCACAGAAATAAGTCCAATAACTTACTGCCAATGTGTTCGTGCCAACATACCCAGTTAACTTTAAGTATACTCTTTGGCTCCAGGCAGCCTCGGCTACGCAACTTGCTTTTCACGGCTTGCAATGGACTATTAAAATAATCACAAAACTGCTTCTTACTTCTATGATTACTCACTTTTGAAAAGATCTAACCATATTAGTGACGGCAACGTGGTTTGGAGAAATAGCCAAAACGAAACGAGTGTCTTGTGTCACACTCTGAACAGTTTTTCCTCCCAATTGATGCACGAGTTTTTCATAATACTGTTTCTCCTGGTTTGAAGAGGCACCTACACAGAATCAATAAGAGAGATCTTCCTTCATAACTTGTAAAGTGTGCGAACCAACTACACACAATACTAAACCATCTAGACAAAGACTCGACTTTAGTGCAAAAGCTTCAGGTCGAGTTCTTCCCACAGTGAGTTGAAGAAAGGTTCAAAGAAGTAAAAACTTACGGGACAGAAATCAAGTCAACTTTTTCTCGGAGATGAGGTTGAGCTCTCCGTTTCTTGTTTGTTTTCAAGCCATCTACACTATAACTAGCAGATGGTGGTTCTGATGGTCGAGTCAGCTCGTCAAGGGTTGAACACTAGCCCAACTAGTGAACCTAAACCAATGACAGAAAAGAAACTCACTTCAAACCAACGTTTATCCCATCTAATGTTTGCCACTCGAGGAAAGCGTACTGCATAGCCCGAATAAATAGCACTTGGTCTTACTTCATAAGCATAAATAGTAAGCACAATAGAATGACAAGGTTCGATCCAAAAATCCGGCACGCCGTCCTGCTCTCGGCAATAACAATTGGATAAACCAAATATTTTATAATGCAGACTTACGGCTCTTAACAAACTGTGCTTTAAATGTTCAGGAGGTGCCTTTTTGTCATATGGCTTCCAAAATGGAGCCAACTTGTGTTGCAACTGTTCTAATTGTTCATAAGAATATCCTATACATTACACAGTCATCCATTCTTATATCTTTATGGAACAAGAAACTTGCCGCTTCCGACTTTCCCAATAACAATCCAACTGACTATGTGGCCAGAAAGCCATTCAGTATTTCAAATGAGCAAATAGTATTGGCATCATCATACCTTCAACATTCCTATCTTGTTCCTCAATATCCTTCTCCAAAATACCAATCAAAAAGTGGCTCGGTTTGCCTATTCTTGTAGTTTTGGAATATCCTTAGGGTACAAAGCTTACAAGAACAAAAGACGCATTGAACACGAAACGAACCTGTTCCAATAAAGGCACCTAAAATGAGAACATCCAAGTCATGAACCAAATCATTGAAATAGTCAGGCTTTAGCTTGATCATCACTTCATCATCTCGTTTTCCTAACAAATAAGGTTTCTTCTTATTCTTCACAACAACTCCTTCATATTTCTGTTCAATAAAATCTTCCATAGCTTGCTTTATGTCTTCCACCGTAGTACCCTCTTTCTATTTCCAAAGAAACTTACTATAAACATATCGCGACTATGAACTCTTACATATGGAACTAGACGAATTTGTGAATGGAAAGGACGTACAATTCCTTTCAAGATCTCTTTGCGGGTTTCTAGAGGAAAAGATACAACGCTCGGGGGAACATTTTGATTCTAAACAACATCAATAACACCAATAATAAGCGACAAATAGTTAAGAAAATACCTGATCGACATAGAGAACATCAAATATCATATAAGTGATAAGAAAATTGTCATCCAGTTTGGTATCTTTCGCGATGGAAATATAATGTCTTATCTACTTTCATATTCAGGTTAGCCTTATTACGCTATAAAAAACGAATACCTGATCAAAATGTTCGAATGCTTGCTTATCCACATTGTATAATAGCACTTCACCATCTAAAACGCAGTCCTGCGCATCAACACATAACAATACGGCTGTCTTCAAATGAGGTCCATACAAATGAGTTGTATCCAAAGCATTTCGACTGAAACATTGGATATCTTCACCTAATAGCGATTATAAAATAATGATGTTCTGATAATGCATAAAGACTACCTTTTTTATGCAACTGTAGCCTCTCGCCATCAAATTTAGGTTCCAGAAAGAAACCATCTAAAATATTCTCAATCATTCTTTCATCTGAATACAATTAGATACCTGACATCAAATAAGGAATGCGTTGTAAATTTTCCTGCCGTTTAGCCAAAGATACGGAAGCTGGTTGACCCAAAATGACATCCTTCGACAGAGAATGTATTCACTATATATTCAAAACACAAAAGAAATGCTACTAACCTGAGAAACAATATAGAAACCAGGCTGGAAACAATCCTCACACATGCGACGCAATGAATGCCTTAGTCGATAATCTTCTAAAGCCGAAGGATGGAACCTTGTATATCTGTAAATTACAGAGTGAAATCAATCTACTCAGTCTCACCATTTTAAAATACTCTCAAAGCGAAGGCCTAAATGCATTTGCTTTAGGATAATTCGAGATATCCAAATGTTTTCAGTCACTGTGCACTCTGTGACTATTTGGTGAAAGATTTTCTTTCTCTTTTCTTTCTCTAAAGTAATGTTCAACTCATTCAACTTGGTAAAGGATTAGACCATAATAGAAAAGTATAACAAAAACCATAGCATACTAATTCATTAACTTGAGATATTGTCAGAGAACTCGTATCTGAACAACGATGTCGTAATACTGCTTCAAGAACTGAGAAAAAATTTCCAGGTATTGCCGGTATTTGTCCAGTTTGTTGCTGGACAGACACTAAGTAATTCCTTTGCAATTGTCCTCGAATTCCTTTACCTGAACAGTAGGATCCTGCCAGCGACGTAGTCTCTGCGCGTCAAACGAAGAAGGGTCCAACTAGAGTCAAATGTTAGGTACTAGCTATCAAAGAATATCTGCAGCTAAAACCTCGAAGACACTAATATAAAGTTCTGCAAGACCCCTTTCCTTCATCCCAAAGCTTCTTCTATCGTTATCTAGCTCAGGCAGGAGCAAACGTAAAATGGAAAACGAATCAAGAGGAGACACGCTTCTGGCAGGAATGTCAATCAACGAGGGCGCTTTCATAGCACGCCTCCTAAATTTCTCCTTAAGTACTCTATCAAGCACACAATAACAAGGGCCAACCAAAAACTCTCAACTAGCGTCAACTTTTCCTCCGTGCCTTTTGTCTTTAATACCTTCTCAAGGATGGAACAAAAATTACTAAAAGCTTCGTTTTCCATAAGGGCCACGAGCAAATATCAAGCAAACTGAAAATTCCAAATCAAAACTTTTATTCAAAGATGATTACTAAAAATGACATTATCAAACGCTCATTGAGACTTCATGGCATACTGAGGTACATATTGTTGTGGAGGTGGATACATCGCACCTGCAGGAGGTGCCCAACCACAAGAAGGAGGTGGATACGCATATCCTACTCGATAGGGCTCAGGAGCTTGCGAAACTGGCTGCTCAACAGTTACGTTCAAGTTTACGTTCAACTTCTCCTTCATCATTTCTTCTACAATCACAGAAACATTTTTCATATTGACTACTTCCTTTAAATCTTCAAAAGTCTTCTTGAAATCCGTCACAAGCGTTGTATTCAACGCATCATCTAGGTACAGAAAAGTATCATTCAACTGTTCAGCTTTATCGCCAATGTCCCTAAGAAGCTTGGTGAAATTGGTATCAATATCTGCAAAAACACGACTGAAATTTTTCCTGACTTCATAATCAAAAGAATCTAATTTCTTGTCGACATCCGCAATGCCTTCGTTTAGTTTTTCATAACTATCCATAATATCATTAAAGACCATACTAAAGTTTTCACCAATCATGGTCTTGTAACTCTTCAACTTCGTCATCAAATCTGAATAATCTTCATATACACTACTAAAGTTCTCGCCAACTTCGCTCTTCAAGTCACTAAAGTTGCTGTTCATGTACGAACTTAAAGATGATAGCTCATCTTCAACATCATCAAACTTCGTATCAATCTTCTTTTCAAGATCTCCTTTGTATGACATTAATGTAGACATCAACTCTGTCACATTTTCATCTAAATAATTACTCAACTCTGAAAGGTCTCCATATACCATACTAAAGTTGTTCTCCAATGTCATTTGTTGTAAGACTGTAGGTCACTCTTCATATGTGTTCCAGTTGGTTTCTAAATAGTCACTAATCTCATCAATACTATCATAAACCATACTAAAGTTTTCACCAATCATGGTCTTGTAACTCTTCAACTTCGTCATCAAATCTGAATAATCTTCATATACACTACTAAAGTTCTCGCCAACTTCGCTCTTCAAGTCACTAAAGTTGCTGTTCATGTACGAACTTAAAGATGATAGCTCATCTTCAACATCATCAAACTTCGTATCAATCTTCTTTTCAAGATCTCCTTTGTATGACATTAATGTAGACATCAACTCTGTCACATTTTCATCTAAATAATTACTCAACTCTGAAAGGTCTCCATATACCATACTAAAGTTGGTATACAATTCTTCGTTGTAAGACTGTAGGTCACTCTTCAATGTACTAAAGTTGGTTTCTAAATAGTCACTAATCTCATCAATACTATCATAAACCATACTAAAGTTTTCACCAATCATGGTCTTGTAACTCTTCAACTTCGTCATCAAATCTGAATAATCTTCATATACACTACTAAAGTTCTCGCCAACTTCGCTCTTCAAGTCACTAAAGTTGCTGTTCATGTACGAACTTAAAGATGATAGCTCATCTTCAACATCATCAAACTTCGTATCAATCTTCTTTTCAAGATCTCCTTTGTATGACATTAATGTAGACATCAACTCTGTCACATTTTCATCTAAATAATTACTCAACTCTGAAAGGTCTCCATATACCATACTAAAGTTTTCGCCAATGTCAGTTTTCAACTCAGTAAAGTTTCTATCCATATATGTTCTCAATGAGCTCAACTCAGTATCAACGGAATCAAAACGTTTGTCAAAGTGTCTCTTATAACTTCCAAGCTTATCTATAATCTCAGTGCTATTGCCGTCAATAGAATCTTCAACACTTTCGACTACTGACATCAAAGTGCTGAAATTTTCTCCAATTGCGTCACTCAGTGTTCCAATAGTAGATTGAACGTCTTCATAGTATGTGTCCAAGTCTTGTCTAACTTGTGAAAAGTTTCATTTAAATATTGGAATAACTTGGAAAAGTTCTGCTCCAATTCTGAAGATGTAGCAATATCGTCCACAAATGAAACAATGTCGTCCTGGGTATCAAGAACATCTTGCAAGGATGTATTGACATTATCGACTACTGACTTGATACTGGACACATCTGACTCCATCTTACTTATATCCGAGAGAAAGCTGCTTCCAAAATAAGACTCTAGTGCGTTTACTACAGTATTGGATAATTCTGATTTTAGAAAGGTCTTCAAAAGAGGATATGAAAGTTCGCAAACTCCGTAAGTCAGCGACTCATCAGTACCGAAAGCCTTGCTACAAGAGGGGGCTGAACAAAGGGAACAGCCTATAGTTGCGATTTCACCAACTTGAATATGGATCTGTGAATCACTAGCATTTGCCACAAAACAGTGACAAATGCCACGGTCTCTATCAGCATGGATGGTGTGTAGTGAGATCAACGTGACTAGAAGCAGAGACAATATTCTCTGTGAACACTTCATCTTTGCGTGGAACCACGTAACTCACAACAATTACCTAAGCGAATGGAACAAACGTAAATCGAAATTATTTGAAATGGTTCTCTTAAATCCAGGTTGCGCAACGGTTGCGCACCCCTTTGATTTCGAGGACATTCTGGAACAGCCAATTGTATTACAGGGAACGATTGTGACATTCTGTGGAATCATTTCTGTTGAAGTTTGACTGAGACCGTTAAAAATGATAGTGCTTTGTTGAACAAAAGAGCCAAGCTTCAAAGGACTTTTAAAAAAACTCTTTCAACTTGTGTTTTGCTGAATTTCTTCCTTGTTTACTCTTTCGTTGTCTTTGCAACTATTTGGGTTGAAGCTATTGCAAACCAAAATAAAAGTGTCCTGTTTCTTCGCTTTCAATAGTATAAGTAACTGAAATATCGTGTTATTTTTGGCAGCTTTATTCTGCGCCATTCTGAGAACTAGACAAGAGTACACTGCTGGCTTCTTGGGCAAAAAGAAAACTCAAGTTCAAACTAAATGTTAGAGCTTCAATATATGTGTCCACAAATAAAGGACTATTTGAGAAAGGGGTGCTTTAAAGACATTTTTAAAGAAACTTACTAAACCTTTAGTGACTGATAAGATTCAATTGATTTGATCCGTCGTCGAGTATTCATTCCATTAGGGAATAATGGCATTTACACCGAGAGGTGGGGGTAGTTCTGGTTTTCGTGGTGGATCTTCCGGTGGAGGAAGCTTTAGAGGTAGAGGTGGTAGTAGAGGTAGAGGAAGAGGCAATGTAATATCCAAGTTTGGTTCGCGAGGTGCTTCCTCAGGAGGTCGTGGAGGTAGAGGTGGGGGACCAAAACGAGGTGGAATGAAAGGTGGTTCAAAGGTTGTAATCGAACCTCATAGACACGCTGGTGTTTTTGTCGCGAGAGGCAAGGAAGATGCTCTTTGTACTAGAAATATGGTTACTGGAGAGTCGGTGTATGGAGAAAAGAGAGTTTCTGTTGAAGTAGAAAATCCCAACGATCCTTTGGTGAAAGAGAAGATTGAATATCGCATATGGAATCCTTTTCGATCCAAATTGGCAGCAGCTATTTTAGGTGGTGTTGATAATATACATATTAAACCTGGTTGCAAGGTATTGTATTTGGGTGCCGCTTCAGGTACTACGGTATCACACGTCTCGGATATTATTGGAGCGGATGGTATTGTATACGCCGTTGAGTTTTCGCAACGTTCTGGTCGTGACTTGTTGAATCTTGCGAAAAGGCGAACTAATATAGTTCCTATTATTGAGGACGCCAGGTATCCTGCAAGATACAGAATGTTGGTGGGTATGGTGGACGTTATATTTGCTGATGTTGCACAACCCGATCAAGCTCGTATTGTTGCTATCAATGCTCATCAATTTTTAAAGACAGGTGGTCATTTTGTAATATCTATAAAGGCCAACTGTGTTGATTCCACTGTGGAACCCGCCTTGGTTTTTGCTCGGGAAGTTGAGAAACTGAAACAAGAAAACTTGAGGCCTATTGAACAGATTACCTTAGAGCCTTACGAAAGAGACCATGCCGTTATCGTTGGGTATTTTAGATTGCTTTTTCATATATTATATATCTGCTAACAACTATTGTAGGGTATATCGTCCGACTAAGAAGAAGAGCAAAGTATCCAACTACGAAAAAGAAAGTTCTACATGACCCCAAGTCAAACTCAAGTTGTTGGCTATATTGAAAGCAAGGCATATTGGTGTAATTCACTTTAGGACACTGCATTTTTAGCACACTTATTCAATGTTGTTCTTAATTGGAACAAAATAGAATAATAACAGTTTTTGGAACATAAAAAGAGCAGTTTTAAGTTCATAAAAGCATTCCGTCTTGTATCTTTGAATGTTCATCATAATCGATTCTATTTGCATTCAATAAAAGATAGGAAATGGATAGGGACTGGGGTGGAAAAACTGGAGGCGGTGGAGTCGCCTCCAGTGAACAAACAGAAGTCTCAAGAAGAGAAAGGTAATTGGTGTCTCATTATAACAAGTGCATATATTGCTAAGTTCACTTCAAGATTACGTCAACTTGCTTTGGAAACGATTGACTTGAAAAAGGACCCCTATTTTATGCGCAACCATTTGGTGAGTAATCCTATAGAGTATATTGTAACAAACTTATGAAAGTAGGGAGGTTATGAGTGTAAATTATGTCTAACGTTACATACCAACGAAGGAAATTATCTTGCGCATACACAGGGAAGAAGACATCAGATGAACCTTGCTCGCCGTGCAGCTAGAGAAGCAAAAGAAAAGCCTCAAACAGTGGCACCTCCTCCAAAGATAGTACCAAAGAAAACTATCAAAATTGGAAGGCCTGGTTATCGTATCATCAAGCAACGGGATCCAGAAACAGATCAACTCAGTTTATTATTTCAAATACAGTATCCGGAAATTGCGGAAGATGTTCAACCAAGGCATCGTTTTATGTCTTCTTTTGAACAAAAAGTTGAAAGACCTGACCCAAAGTATCAATTTTTATTATTTGCAGCAGAGCCTTATGAAACCATTGCCTTCAAGATACCCAACTGGGAAATTGAAAAATCAGAGGTGAGTATATCTTATGGAAGAACGAGAAATGAGTTTTCAATAGCACATTTAGGGTAACTATTATTTGCACTGGGATAAGGATAACAAAACTTTCACTCTTCAAATATACTTTAAGCCACGCTCACAGCCTCCTGTAAAGAATCAACAAGAAATACCATCACAGCAAGCTTCAGTTGGCAACTTAATGAAGCAACAAAGGGATCCTTTTGCTCCTATTGCCTTTGGAACCTGACGAGAATATTCATCTGAGTCTCCAATTATGTTTTTTAAAGTATTAGGATGATCATCATTGTCTCTACGAAAGTGTGAATGGTTGCTTCCCTTGGCGAATAAAGGCTCCATTGGAATGACAACTTTCATGTCTCAGAAAGACCTCGTTGACTCTTTAGGTTTTTATCTCAATCAAGTTGAAGGCGCTATTTCTATATTTACTAAAAGTCTCGATGAAATATTCCAACCAGGTTTTCATAGTGTGCTCCTAACCAATTATATGTTTGATCTGTCTTGGTTATTTCAACGAGTCCCAATACTTTTAACTGTGGAGAGGTTGCTCATAGTTCACGGTGATGAACAAGTGTACCAACCATTTTCGCCATATCATTTCATAACTTTCCACAAGCCTCGTTTACCTTTCCCCTATGGGACTCACCACACCAAGCTCATCATACTTTTTTATCCTACCAAAGTTAGGTTTGTATTAACAACTGCTAATATGATACAAAGTGACTGGGAGTACAAAACTCAAGGCATGTTTCTCAAAGACTTTCCTCAAAAAACGGGAGAGTTGAAATCCTGTCCTTTCTTAGAGACTATGGATGACTACCTTTCAGCCCTTGGTGAGCCCCTTCGTTATTATCGTTCCTTACTTTGCCAATATGATTTTTCCAAAGCTGGTGTGGTACTTATTCCAAGTGTTCCAGGATATCATGGAGGAAGAAACTTGGACAAATATGGACATCGGTCTCTTCATAGCAACATTAGCCAGTATTGTTGTATTTCAGATGAGCAAAGGATAAGACGAAAGACCACTCATTCCACAATTCGGTTACTATTACAATGTTCAAGTATGGGTAGTATTTCTGAAAAGTGGTTAAAGCAAGAACTTTTTCATTCCATGGTAAGTAGTTGTTGGAAACAAGAGGATTGGCAATATTGTTTTGAATGGGATCTCATATGGCCAAGTGTACAACAAGTAAGGAATTCCATTCAAGGCTATGCATCTGGTGCTGCTTTTCCATGGACCAAAAAGAACTATCGGTCTTTTCAAAGTTCTCATTTGTGTTTATGGAATGCTTACTTCTTTAGAAGAAATGCATGGTTACCCCATATGAAGAGTTACATGGCTTATGAAGAAAGTGGAAATATTTTCTGGTTTCTATTAACATCCGCTAATTTATCCACTGCTGCGTGGGGACGTCTCGTACGCAATCAATCGCAACTGTTTATTCGCTCCTATGAGTTGGGAGTCTTATGGACACCTATGCTTTGTTCCTATACTTGTCCGATGGATAATGTTATTCAACTGACGACTCCTCAACATATCACATCTTATTATCCACGAGAGAAGAACAACAACATTCTATTCTGTTTGCCTTTGCCTTTTCAACTTCCTCCTCAACACTACGATTCAAATGACTCGCCATGGCTATGGGATGCTATCTACAAGTCTCCGGATAGATTAGGAAATGTATGGCCATTGGGATGGAATGTCGAATGATAAACGACACTTTGTCGACACTCCGATCGAAATAAATTTTCTTCTAGTTGTTTCAACCACCATTTCGCCACTTGTTCATCTTGACAAATGATGGAATGTACTTGGACCATACCCAAAGATAACTCTTCTGATAAACTCCAGTTGGTTGGTTGTCTCTTATCCATTACTTTAGGTAAACAAGTAAAAGTAATACAGCGTCTATTCTTCTTTTCAATAAACAAAATCTGTTCATGCCACAACTCCCCTTGACAAACAAACCGAGGTTTCTGTAAACTCAACTTGGTTCCACCTTTCCATATCGATGCCGAATACCAACAAAACACGAACCTATAATTGGTCCACATCATACCCAATTGATCTTTCAACGGAGCAAAGAGGATGAGCTTCTCATGATTATCCAAATGCCCATCCCAATGTTCGAATATCCACTTGCCCAACACATCATCCTTATATTCAAAAGCTCTCAATGGTTGACATTCCATGTTTGAACGAATCGGTCTCCATCTTTCACTCCAACCACCTTTTTGTTCCTCGTTATCCCATCGAGATAACCAACTCTGTAAGTATTCCAAACAATCCATGATACCCATGAGTAGCCGATGACTCCAATCGAGACTGGTATGCAATATTTTGAGATAAAAGTTATTGGATAGTGGCAAATAGGCCAATGTAGAAGATAGCCAATTCACATTACCTTGAAGCATACCCAAACTAGCTTCTATCCAACTATCCAAGATGCGATAGTTTAACATCAACAACTGTCTCAACAACAACATGGGCAACCCTTTCAGTTTCCAATCATTCAAACAATTCGTAACCAATTGTTCAAACGCAAGTTGCATTCTTTTCCAACACTTGTTAGGGTTTCCGATCCAATTCAAGGAACCCATCAAGGCATAGATACTCCACAATAAATCTCTTTTGTAGAATAAACCCATTTGGTGCATCAAAGATGATCCATCGGTGTTGTGAAGTGTGATAGGGCGGATCAACAGAGGTGCGTCTTCTATGTTGCCAATAGATAATCCAAATAGAGCAATCCATCTTTCCCATTGCGCTAAAGAACTATACGAATACCACGGCAAATGTAATAATCCAACCACACCATTTCTACCGAATTGAAATGACAATTGGCAAGCGATATTGGATACATGAAAATCTTCTACAAAGGTCAAAGTCTTTGATGATGGATGGTGGGAAGGAGTCGAATGAGTCTTGGTCCATTCTTGGGTTTTTATCCACCACCAGATAAAAGATTCTAATATATCGCTATCCAATCGGAAAGCAAAAGGCTGCAGATGACATTCCAATTCATCCAATATGTTGTCGTTTCCATCCATGAGAAGATGACTCAACTTGATACAGGCAAACTTTTTCAACCATATTCCTAGACGTCCTTGAACCATAGCACATGTTTTGTTCGATATATTTGCTCTCTCCATGCATACTGCATAATTCCTTCCAACTGTAGTAACTTGGTTGTCTACATGAATATCTTGCAATGCAAAGGATAACCAAAAGTATCCATATTGAGTCCAATTGCAATGAAATCTTATTCTTTTGAAACAAGTGTAGACTATTTCATCATTATTCATGGCATACAACGAAATACCGATACCTGCCATATCTAATGTTGCTCGAGAATGCATCCACGACGGATTGAAAGATGTATTATGTATCCATGTTCTTTTCCATCTATCTATTCTCTGTTGCATAATAATGACATCCCAATAAGGACCACGAGGTATGAAATAGAAAATCCAACCTTTTCTATAAACTGGACCAGAATATGATTGTCTGATATCTTTCCAACGATAAATCAAATGACTTTTCCCATTTTGTATTATATAAAAATAAATAATACAATCCTTATCCATGAACAAGGAAGGTTGCAAAGATATGCATTGTCCATTACCCAATAAATATTGTCTATGAAAAGAATCATATTTTCCTATGCATACACGAAATAAAAGAGTGGAGAGATTGACTACTCTAATGGTTGTTGGAGGACAATCCACGACGGTCAACTTGAACCGTTCGCTTGGATAGTCTTCATATCTTTGTATTTGAACAAAGAATGGAGAACCGTTGTTCATAGGAAAAATGGCATTCAAACCTTTGCTTGTCATTTCACGTATTTGTGAAAATCGCAAATGAGCAACATTTCCTCCTTCATCATCCATGGAGGACTGATTAGTTACCACTCGTAAATGGACAAAGTCACTCGATTCGACCATTGCCTCACTTAGCATCATCTCAGAACCTTGTATAAGAATATAACTTTTGTCACGCCATTTCAACTGACATGTTGAAGACAACTGATTTTCTAATCTGTATTTTGGAACGATGGTAGCATGTGGAATCACGATATCCTGTTCCATCCACTTTTGATAAGATACTACAACAACAATAGAATTGTCGAAATAAAATTGGGTCATTGTTGAAGTTTGCCAATAATTGTCTTTGGAAGGAGAATGCTGAGAAGCTATCGGCAACCAATGGATTACATGATTTCCTTTTCTACAACGTTGTGTTGTACTATAATACACATTTTCATCAGAGTCTTTCCAAATCAATCGAAACTCCAGTTTTGACACTTCCTCAGCTGTTCCAAACGTCAAATGTAAAGAATTGCACAACACAAAACATTCATTCGAAAGGGAGTCATCACCCACAACATGCTCATCCCATAACCAAATAGTCGATGATGGCTTCATCCACTGCCAATAAATCAAAGTATTTTGTTCCTTGATAGGCAGACATGGACTAGAAACAATGATATCGGGATGTAATATGATTTCTTTCCAAGCAAAAGTTGTTGATGATGAAAGAAACGTATAAGATATACAACGACGATTTGTATTTCCAATGCATCGACTTGAATACTTTCTTTTGTGTTGATTTTCACCCCATTCTATAGTATACTGTTCATCTGTTTGTATCGATCGAATAACACATCGTTGTCTATTGAGAGAATACAACATACAAAGACCCGTGTAAGGCAACAGATTCCAATGAGACGATAAAGAATCATCCATCACGTAAATATCGACTCCCAAATAATTCTTCACACATAACAAAGGCATTACATGTAAAACCACATTGGGATGACTCCATTCCATTCTTGACTGTGCAAAGCAATGAACGAAACCATCTTTCACTACTGAACAACAACAATTCAACTCTGATAAATGGTTAGGTTGAAAACAACTTTGTAACCAGTCCATGAATAAAGGACTCGTTTCTAAACAACCATCGGTCATTTCATCTAAACATAAACTCACTCGAATATGTCTTCCATTCCATAAATAATACAACGGAATACTTCGTTTCTTTCCACTTTCTATGCTCAAACTTTGAATTTCATGACCATCAAAAAAGTACAACCACAATGAAGTATCGCAATGATTTTGTATAAAATAATTGGAACGAATCTCTAACAATGTATTCAGCTCTGAAATTTGTTTCTCTACAATCAAATAGAAATCTTGTCCACTCGATGTTATAGGAATACAACATTGTGTTCCATCAAAAGCAAGTTCAATTCGAGTTGATGAAGAAAGAAAAGGAGAATACAAATAGAAATGTCCTTGTAACAATAGTTGATCTACAAGTTGAACGATTTGACCATCTTTGATTTGCTGTATGAGAACATTCTTTGTTCTGTACAATTCGATGGTTTCTCCAGTTCTGTTGCTGACAGAAAACAATGAACGGGAACCAATAACTGACTCACACCTTTCTTCAAGTTGATAGTATAATCGATACAAGGTTGCAACTATGGGAGGATTGAGATTCACTTGCAATATGCGAGAAGAACTCAATAGTATATCAAAGTGAGACAATGATAAGGGCGGTGGAGAACGATTAGAAGCATCAATCAATGCCAATCCATGCGAGAGTTTTTGTTTCAAGAAAATGTAGAGACAAGCACTCCACTCTTCTATAAAAGGTTCCAAAGCCATATGAATCATATTGTATATCTCTACCAAACCACTCACATCTACTCGCCCGCCAAGAGGATTACATTGCAACTTGAAGGATAAGGTAACTCTACCTAAAGGTAAACCTTCCCATTGGTCTTGATCCATCCAAGTGCACTTTGCTTGGACAACTGTCAACTGCATATGAGGAATGGCAAAAGGCTGAGATGCACTGTTCGAAAAAGGCAACCAACTTTTCAAGCATCTATCCAAGCAACTGTATCTTTCTGCAGAGAACTGAATGGCACACTTATGAATTCGAATAGAGAATGACTGACTGTTGGGTTGTGCATTTACCCACATTTCATCTCCTTTGAGTAGAGAATGATGTTTTTTGCTGACATGACCCACCAATGAACTCCATCTGTTGTCTGAATAGTCACTAACCAAACTAGTATTTCTACTAAAATCTGTACTACTTCCTCCTCCTCCTCCTCCTCCTCATCCATGAAAGATGAATCATGAGTTCCCTGATTATCCATTCTAATGCTTTCCAATCCAAACTTGTATTGACTTGTTGATAAAGTGATAGCGAGATGAGGTAATGATGAAGATACTTCCAACTCGATATGTTTTAAAGTTCCTTGTAATCCTATTAGAGGTTGAAGATGAGGTAATGAACAACATTCCAACACACAACAACGAAAGGTGGATACTCGGCAATGAATAGTCCATAAAGAATCCTTATATCCCTTTCTACTCACTTCACTATCCTTTTTCGATAAAGACAGTCCATCCATCATACTTGTGAGACTTTTTTGAAACTCCAAACACAACTGCAACATGGGAAAATTCCATTGTAACTGAATAGTATTCAAAGGAATGGAAACATTCCAGTGGGATGATTGTCGATCATAAGACAATTGGATTGCTCGTACATTCATATGGAATGGATGATGAGTATAATCAGGTGGATTCCAATCAGGGAAGATGGACAATATCAATGGCTTTCCTTGATATTGCCAAATATTCGGTCCCTTTCCAATAGTAGAAACGATATATTGGAAATAAATCATGCATTCAACTTGCTCTCGATATTCCATTATCCAGTGATGGATTTCCCAATCATTCGTTATACTAGACTCTTCCAACTGACAACTGGTCAAACTAACTGATACATGATGCAAAACTAATCGATACCAAAAAACTCTAGTTGATATATTGGCATTCGAATCATGATGATGATGGAACGAGTTGAATTGAGACTGCCAATATTGTTCCCAAAGTACTAAAGATGTAAGAACAGCAAAACAACAAGTATCCAAACTCATCTTCAACTCTGCAATCTCCAGCCAATCAAAAGGACTCTTACACAGATTATATACTATCGATTGACTTTGGAAAGAAAACCAAATACTTGAGGCATTCTTGGCTTGTACATTCAAATTGGGTAACTGGAACCAAAATCGTTCTTTGGATGCGTCATTAGAGAGCAAATATGTTTCCTCAGTCAAGGATGAAGTATCATAGCCTCCGGATGCTCTTTGAAACGAAATCATAAACTCACAATTCCAACATATCCATTGGAAATGAAATTCTTCAATATCTATGCGCCAAGATAATAAATTGAAAGTCTGCTTCTCAGATTGAACACTTTCACTAGGAATAGTATTCTCCATCCAACCACTGACTGTTTGTAAAGCATATAAACTGCCATTCATCAAAGAATCAACATCCTCCAATGTTATCTGAATATGAATGGGAGAGAAGGCACAATACATCTTGAAATGATCGTCTTCTTTTCTCATGGAAATGGTAAAAGGAGGCATATCCAATAGAGTTGTATATTCATTCAAAGTTGAATATAAGCGTACCGAAAAAACAATACATTTCCATGGCATTTCATTCATGACCAACATATTGCCTTCTCGCTCTTCTTGTATAATATTCTTATCCCAAGTAAAACGTATTCTTTCCAACAACAAATGAAATGGAATACAAGTAGGATATGAATATGCGATGTCCAACTTTTCTATCATAACTTGGCTATATATCCATTCCACTTGTCGATTACTTTTCTTGTCTTTTTTCCATGAATGAGTTAGCGATGATGGAGACTATCCTCTTCGATCCAACTTCTATACAGTGTATATGATTCACGTAACATAGCTTTCTATTTTCGCATCAGCCTGCCTGTTTTACACTTGGTCAGTAGAATCTTTTCCGATAAGGGTAGTTTGTCTAGCAACTCGTTAGTGCTTTGTAATGAAATCACTACGATGATACATCCCATTTGGTCAAAAGTCATGCTTTGGTTGTAGTTCCCCTATTGAATTGATTCTATTTTAGCTTTGGTACTCAGATATCTGCGTTGTTTCCATGTCGAAGGTTCAACAAGGCAAATGATCGGGTTCGATTATATCCAATGGTAAATAGAATATTTCATAATCTTGTTGCAAACAGTGCCATAATAATAACCAATCTTCCGACACCATAGAAACTTGCCATTGATCAATGACACACTGAAAAGTTTCCAAGTTCTCTTTCTCATCTCTTGACCAAATCAATTCAATAGGACAATCAAAACGCACTAAAGTTCTTGACATGGATTGACTTTCGCTATTTCCATGTGATTCCCAAAGGTGAACAATACAAAGAGCATCTACAGTAGATTGAATTCCACCAAAACTCGACAAATTCTCTTCTTCATGGATAGAGAAACCCAGTCTTTGCAACTCTAAAGTGTTCCAAGACATACTTAAAGCTTCCATCGAATCTCCTTTGTAAGAACTCATACATATAATATCCCAACAACGGAACTGGATCAGAATAGCACCTCTCTAGATAGATATACAAAAGTAGATTCATTAGAGAAAATAATAAAACTCTCAAACTTACCTCCATAAACCAGTCCAAGGATGAACGAGGTTGATAGCAAGATAAAGCATTCCAAATAAGTTGGTTAAAAGGATCCATCCTCTTCATTTTCCGGATCAAAAAGATAACAGAATCTTCTTTGCTCTCCTCTTTCCTTTCATGTGTTGATGAGCTATTATTCATCATCAAGTGACGAATATACCGAAACACAGCAGGATTCAAACGAACTCGTATACCACAAAGTTCTAACATGAAATAGCCATAAAAAGGTTCTTGATGTTCCAATCTATATTCCAATTGTATCCAACTAGAAAAAGTGTCACTAGAATCTATTAGATTCCAAACACTTTGACCTTTTCTTGGTGAGGAGAATGAATGATCCAAAAATACAGAAAGACAAACAGAACGACTATTCGCTATCCACTTTTGTTCTCTCTCATTACTTAGCCACTCCAAATAACAATTACTCAAATGCAAATCCAATTCTAGAATCTTATCTTTGAAATGAACATCAACTCCTTCTTCCAAACGACATATCATAGCTAGAGTTGGTTTTGACATTAAAGGATGCCAAGAGCTACTTCGAAAGAAGCAACTAAGACTAAACAATCCTTTCAAATACTCTTCATCCAATAAGGAAAATACACGACGACAATCTTGTTCATTGGAAACTGCCAATTCTCTCAAATGTCGTAAATAAGACATACATTGTTTAGGATATCGTCTCTCCATTCTCTGTAAGAAAAAAATCTGTGAGGAACTCAATCGATAATATTCAACCTCATCTTGTAATATATTCAATCTCAACCAACGAAAACAACAAGCACGAAATATACGATAATATTTCCTCATTGGACGCACGTAATACAAAATCATAAAATGAGTAATCCATTTCCACTTGGCAACCATTGCTGAAGACCTTTCCATCGTATCTTTCTCAGCATAAAGAATGAAATGTTTGGCTTGACACTTATCCATAGCTCTTTGATAATATTGACACGCCTCAAGAAGATTCCATAAACTTTCGATAACATTCCAATCCAAATAAAACTGCAAAGGTGATGAACAAACAATGGAACAAGACATGGAAAATTCTTGGACTTGTATCATCGCATCCAACTCTAAGCGACATGAAGCAAGTGAACAAATAATATTACTAATATTATGCTCAAGTTGTAAGTGATATAACTCAAATTGTTGTAATAAGACCAGCTTCGAAACCTCAAGGCCAAGATCGATGTCTACTTCAGCACTATGCTCCAAAGGAATAGAATCAGCTTCCCTTTCCAAAATCTGCAACTTATCTATAAACAATCTCAACTGGTTATAGTGTCCACAATGTGAATATTCCAACTCTACTCTAATGTCCTCTACAGTCAACGACACCAAGGCTGCTAGAAAGGAGCCAAGCTCTGTCTTCCACAAGGATAAAGTTTTGTTCCATTCCAATCCTGAAAATATAAATACACTTTCATTGTATATAGTTTCAGACCATGAACTTTTCTGGTCTTGTAACGGTGCCTGTTGGAACTTGAGATGCAGACCTTTCAGAGTTATCGAAGTTTGTGACTGAAATAACGAGAGTTCCAAAGAGTCGACCATTCCTTGCTATTCGTTTTCAACTCAATATTCCAACAATAATAGAATATCAAAACTCACTTGTAACACAAAACCAAGTGGACTAACAAGACTATTCCATAGAGAAGTCTTCAACTTTACGTGGGATAAACTCACTTTACCACGCCATAAGTGGAAGTGTAGCTGGTCACGATTGATATCTTGGAAAAACTTATCCAAGTGCTTGGACAGAGTATCAGCAACCAAACTACTCAGAGACATCACAAGGTTCGACTACTTTTCACAATTTCCTTTTGACATTGCATGAATGCCTGTTGCGATTTCTTCAAAGGAAGACAGTCTTTATTTTGGACTATCATTCCAAAACAAATGGTTATTGCCATGCCAGTCAATATTTCTATCATGACACATACTACGACAACCATCACATATGATATAACAAGGAAGTTCGCCATTATTACCCGCTCTTAAACAACGAGGTGAAGGAGGTGCCTTGGAAAATGGCTTACGACGTGACCTATCCACAGTTTCTCAATATCTGTTTTCGATGAGGACAATTGTTTATTATTGTACTTACGCATATTCTTTTTCTGTAAACTGAGTAGAATAATGCACTTTATCTTTTCGAAACTGGCCACTAGCATACAACTTTTGTAACACTTCATAAGCCTCTTGTAACTCTACAAAGGAACGACTCCTTTCCTTTTTAATATATTCGTCAGTGGTTGTTTCGAGAACATCTGGGTGTAACTTTTTGACTAGCAATAAATATCTCTTCTAGAAGAAAAATAGTAGAGAGTTGAAAGGTTTGGCTAAGAAAATGGATACCTTTACTTGCTCGAAAGAAGCACAGGATTCCAAGTCAAGAACTGAAAAAGGATCCCTTTTCTGACTATGCAATAATCCTTTACTACATCGATGAAATATCCTAATAGGGATAAGTGTAGGTCTCTTTTGGATAGTCTGAACAAATTGTTGGCTTATATACGACATCCAAATGATGATCTAAATCGATTCTTGTTGGAAGATCCAAAAGTGTCTCCATTTCTAAAGCAATCCTTCTGTTGATCTGATTGTCATGAAACCTAATATCATCCACAACAAGAGAATCAAGGTTGAAATAACGCATCATTATAAGTGTCAATCTAAAAGTTATTACCTCTTTCAGAAACACACACAAAATAAGAGAGTTGGATACAAAGGAAACGCATGATGGAAAGAGTCTATTCTTATTTGTAGACAAAGTGATCATAAGCTCTATTCTAAAAGTACTCAAATAGTATCTATCTATATTGAAATACTTCAAAATGTAGTTGAAAGCAGGCAAATATATCATCCAACTTTATTCCTGAATAAGTTTCATTCATCATTGTCTTTTACAAGTGGTGGTGGTGTTGTTGTTGTTGTTGTCACTTGGCGTTGAATGAAGACCACAAAGCAAAACAAGTCGACTGAAAACAGTTATTCTCGATCAAAAGATACCGGTAAGAACGGAGACACAGGGTTAGTTCTTTGCTCTAACCAAGAACAAGTGGAAGCACAATTGATAGACCATATGGAAGCGTTCAACTTGCATAAGGTAGTGCACAACAGTTTCTCAAACCATAATTTGGCAACTTAAAATACATTTGTAGAAAGCTTTATCAAGAGATTATATTGTGAAGCCTAGACTTGAGTATAGAACAGTGTCAGCAGTAAATGGCCCCTTGGTCATTTTACAAAATGTCAAGTCACCAAGGTTTGCAGAGATAGTAAACGTAACACTGGGTGATGGCAGTATGAGAAGAGGGCAAGTGTTGGAAATCAACGACGATAAAGCAGTAGTGCAGGTGAGTATATCATAGTATGTTTGACTTGTACTGATTCTCTATTATGGAAGATTTTTGAGGGGACCACAGGCATTGACAACAAGAAGACGGTTTGTCAGTTTACGGGAGAAATATTGAAAACACCAGTATCCGTGGATATGTTGGGTAGAGTGTTCAATGGTTCTGGAAAGCCTATTGATGGTGGTCCCCCTATCTTACCAGAAGCTTATTTGGATATTCAGGCAAGTGTAAAAAGTTGGTGTCCTTGGAATGTGTCTGAATGAATGGATATGGTAGGGTCAACCTATTAACCCTCAGAGTCGAACCTATCCTGAGGAAATGTTTGAAACGGGTATCTCAAGTATCGATGTGATGAATTCTATTGCCAGAGGTCAAAAGATTCCCTTGTTTTCCGGAGCAGGGTTGCCTCATAATGAAGTTGCCGCACAAATTTGTAGACAAGTACGTCCTTCTCATACTCTTTGAGAGTATGATAACCATTTTCTATTCATAGGCTTCGTTGGTAAAGCGTTCAGGCAAAGACGAAGAAGATTTTGCTATTGTATTTGCTGCAATGGGAGTGAATATGGAAACTGCACGCTTTTTTAGGCAAGACTTTGAAGAGAATGGTGCTATGGAAAGAGTCACCTTATTCTTGAATTTGGCAAATGATCCTACCATTGAACGTATCATTACTCCTCGTCTGGCATTGACTTTTGCGGAATATCTTGCTTATGAAAAAGGAAAGCACGTGTTGGTTATTTTGACAGATATGAGTGCATATGCGGACGCATTGCGTGAAGTCTCTGCAGCACGTGAAGAGGTATGAATGAAATAGATTCATATAATATGTATATAATATATTCATATTGGAATGAATGATGTTTGTTATATCAGGTACCTGGAAGAAGAGGTTATCCTGGTTATATGTATACAGATTTGGCAACCATTTCTGGTCGAGCCGGTGGACGTGGCAGGGCTTCCAGTGTTCAATTGCTCATATTGCCCATATTGACTATGCTGATATGACTGATCTTATTCCTGCTCTTCCTGGTGTTAGATGGTAAGATGGTCTTTTCTTTTCACATCCATTCAAATACTGATTATGAAAAGGTACATAACGGAGGGACAAATTTATTTGGATCGCCAGTTGCACAACAGACAGATTTACCCTCCTATTAATGTACTTCCCTCATTATCTCGTCTTATGAAGTCCGCTATCGGTGAAGGAATGACAAGGAAGGACCACTCTGATGTATCTAATCAACTATATGCAGCTTATGCTATGGGAAAAGATGCTTTAGCAATGCGTGCTGTAGTTGGTGTGGAAGCATTGTCGCAGGAAGACTTGCTCTACCTAGAATTTCATGATAAGTGCGTTCTCTCATAGAATAATCTTCCATGGGTATTGATTGTGTTATTCCAATGATATATATATATATATATATATAGGTTTGAAAGGCGTTTTGTTAATCAAGGAGCCTATGAAAGAAGAGATATATATACTTCATTAGATATGGCATGGGATTTGTTGCGAATATTTCCTATCCAGTTATTGCGTCGTATTCCTGAAAAGATACTGCAGGAATATTATCATCGGCCAGGCAGTTATTCTAGTCATGAACACAGAAATAAGGAAGACCAAGTAACTCATTAGTCAACAGAAACGAGTATTTGTATTCCATCATCATATACTCATCATAAAATGATGATAGTTTTTCTCATATCTTATTACCTGTTTGTAGCTTATCTTATCTAAGAAAGCATAAAAGACAGTTTCCCAGACTCCGAATACTACAACTAATTGTTTTAGGCCACCAAACAGAGTTGCAATAGTACCGTTATATAGCTTATTATCCATTCTCTATTGCAACCATAATATTGGCCGTGAATCAAGAAGGACAAACAATATTATACTTCAACGTTGGTCACTTTATGAACTCCATACAGTTGTCACCAATACATATGACTGATAGAGGAAAAGCTTTCCGTGAATATATCCACTAACTATTTTGTTACTGGAACTATATCTTGAAAAAAAGGAAACAGTCCCCGTCAGAAAATAGCAAAAGAGAAAGACTTTTCTACTTCACAAAACACCACAACAGTTAAACCCAACAGAATATCGAAGCTCCGAATCTTATTACCCTCGAATAAGCACTGATCCTTTTCCTATCATCACTTACGAGTCAAACTGAATCAACCATCCCATCCACTCCTTCGATTATTGATTATTGAATTCTTGTTGGTATAAGAAAGCTTGTTCTTTGTTATGGTGAACGCTTGGGTGGGTGCCGCAATAGGTTTGGCAGCACAAATTGTCACGAATGGAGCAAGATTGCTTCCACTTTCTCGACGTAAGTTTTTGCAGCTATTGGTTGGTTTGTTTAATGGTTGTCGTATTAGGTCCTTGGGAGCACTTGGCAGCGATGGGGCTAGGTGCTTATATTGGAAAAATATGGGGAGAATATCAGCGTGACAAGATTGAGAGAAAAGAATATCGTTTAAGGAGAGAACTCGAAAACACAAGAAGGGAAAATCGGATGCGTCTCCAACAAGAAGAGGGACTTCAAAATGGCGCAACTCATAGTCCATAACGAACATAATCTGTATTTATGAAGAGCATCCTTCTTTCTTGTTGTCAAGGTTGTTTGTGAATAAACAACGAAACTTCCTTACAAGTATTGATAAACAAGACAAGATTGGTCAATACTCGTTATGCCCTTTGTCATAGTTGATACCAAAAATGCTTGTCAGGAGCACAGATTGTGAACAGACAACTGATCTTTTTGTGCTCTCATAACCCACTGCTCTCCAACAGAAACAATAGCAATATGCGTAGATATCGTCTTCATTTTGCTTTGTTCTGTCGAATGATGCACAACACAGGTAGCAGGAATCCTATCTTGGAAACCCCAAATACCCGTATGGGTCTCCATCACTGGAAAGAATGAAGGCTCTTCATGAATTCCTCTACTACTGCAAGTAGAAGAGTCCGTCGTTCCACTTTTACTTTGTCCTCTCTGATGATATCTGGACAAAGTATTTTGACTCAATCTTTCTCGTTTTCCTCGTTTCCAACATGAGCGCAAGTGACGAGGACGATGGGCCCCTCTTAAACCTAATCCACAGTTGTTACATATATATCCAGGAGCAGTGTTAATCCTTGTAAAGTAATATGGATTGTCTTCTTCTCTTGCATACACTTTTCTTGAACTAGGAGGAGGTGGAGGAGGTGCAGGATTGGGAAGCATCTTATCTCTCAAATGAGGAGACTTTTTCAACACAGGGCACTTTAATAAATGATGCCGTGCATTAGGAGGCCAACACCTAATCAAGTTATATGAGAAACTATAATCATTCCTTGAATAGGACATACTCATAATTACAAAGTTTACACTTCAACCACTTTGGCTTGGCTCCTGTTTTCGTAAACGCACTAAGTGCACCTCCTAAAACATCTTCGTTATCTTCACCTCTGTCTTCATAACTTGGTTCTATGCTTTCGCTTTGAGTTTCGGAATAGTCTTCACTTTTCTTCAACGACTCGTAATTGGACTGCTCTATCTGTTCCTGGGTTGTCCACGTAGTAGACTTTTGTGATGATTCTCGTGAAGAAGAAGCAGTCTCTTCACCTTGTTAGGATATTTAAGGCTTCAAACTTCTCAAATAAGCAGCATACGTACCTTGGGGAAGTTCACTGTTACAAAGTCGTGGTGATGACTGCTCCATGGACCCTCACTCTTTTATATCAAGTTAGAAGAACAAACTAATTCTTTTATAAAAAAACATACGATTTTCAACAGTAACTATTATGCAAAGATACAATATGACGAGGACAATCCATTCAAGTTTCTTTTCTGACAGCAATTCGAAGATGTCTTTTGACAGGGTCATTATGGATTCATCCGAGGCGATGGGAGGAAACGCTTGTGACACAACTTCCAACACAGCAAATATCATATTGTAAAGAGAAGAAAGTAGGACAAGAAAGACAAGAAATGTGTCCTAATTGCCTAGGATGGCTCAATAGATAGCTTTTGAAGGACAACACTTGAATGGTTGAAGAGATAGGTAAACTTTCCTTGTTTATTTTTTATATATATATATATAAAGAAGCAGTTTTTATCTATTCTGGGATTATCACTTGGACGAATACCTTGGACCATCTTAGTCTCTCAGTTTTCCTTGTGAAGCCTTTTATGGTTGGAAAGGCTCTTTTTGATTGTAAGGAAATATTGGAAATATATGAAAAGTCTACGTTTCAGCTCATCTTCTTGTTTAAAAGTGGGTTATTGGAATGTCAAGGAAAGGGATATCACTTATGCGTTTCACAATGGACCCAAGTTTCTTGTCTTTTAGTAGGATCACTTTCTCTCTCTCTCTCTCTCTCAACGATATTCTAAAGAGTTGGAATGTTTTCCACCAAATCAAATCAGTCTTAGACAGCCCGCCTTGCGTTGTCTTGAGGAAATCAAATTTGAAATAACGTGTCCGATTCTTTCTTCTTGAAGGTTGGACTGGCCTTATCATAAGACTCTTGTTGCTTTTGAAAAGTAAGGGCGAAGTTGTTTAACTTAGAAAACAAATGGCTCCAATCCAACCTTCTATGAATGCAACGTTGTTCTCAAAGTTGCAACAAAAACTGAAACATTACAAATATCCAGAATGGTCGCAACTTAAGCTGTAAGTGAGAAAATCATAGTTTCAGTTTTTTTTCTGACTGGTTGTAAAAGAAAGGAACGAGTGAAACCTTCCTTCTTTCTGAAATTATTACGTTGGATAGCTGGAAAGTTTCCTGCATATGTGATGGATGGAATGGAGAAGCAGTCTATTTCTGATCAACATTTTTCTACCACATATCGTTTATTGCGAAGGCTTTGGATCATTTTTCGTTGCCACTTTGGGTAAGACAGATTTGAATATTTCATTTCTATACTAATGAGTGGCAAGTTTGCAGCCACCTTTTGATGAGGACTTTTTCTTGAACAAGGCAACCGATGAAGAGAAATGCCTGTTTATATTACAAGTAATCGACTATATGGAAGAATATGATTTGTTGCGCGATGACAATTTCGAACATAGTCAAAGGTTTTCTTCTAAGAGAGACATATTCGAACCTCGTTCCCAAACCATCCAATCATTTTCCTCATCTACAACGTATCCTTTCCATCTTAAAGCAACTGGACGTCAATCTCCTATCACAAACTATACTCAAGTATTCTATCGAAATTTAGCTAGTCTTTCTTCCAGCGAAGTGCATAGTATAGATGAAGAACCAAAGCCTCATGTTCCATTGGAGGTTCCTCAAACATCCACTTCCTTTGCAAGTTCGGTAACCTTTAGTTCACCACCAGAGACCTGCATGATGACTGAAACAAGATTTGAGAATTTATTAGGAAAGATGTTGGCTCCTATTGAGCAGGTGAGTAAAAGTGCTTGATTCATTTTATCTCTGTCTTTACATGATTTTCAAGGATATTCATCGTTTAAGCGATCGTTTAGGAAGAGTAGAACTCCAAATGGATAGAATGGAGTTGCAGATTGATCATTTGGTTTCTCAAATGCGAAAGCAACAAGCCTCGAAGCATCCCAAGTCGGAAGAACAGCCATATGTTTGTGAAGAGGAGATGGAAGAATCTTTTCACTCTTATGAAGAGCAACCTTTTGCAGCAGACAGATCATTCGTTGGTGACGAATACTTTGAAGAACAATATGCTCCTTCTCTTGAGAATCCATCACTAGACCATCCATATGATGGTTTGAGAGACAGTGCAATGGGGAAAGATGCATCTTCTATTCCTTCAGCTGGAACTCATGTAAGTCATAAAATGTCTTTGAAGTTTTCCTTAGTCTGAATTTTTGAATAAGGACAATTTGGAAGATTTTTTGAGAATTTTACGAGAGAAAATGAACAATGCAAGAGACATTTTACAAAGAGCCACCGAGCGGAATGCTGGCTATTGACAATTGCTATTTTCATATCAAATGTGGATCAACGGATTGCAACAATACAAAGTCATATTGTAGAAGCTAAGTTATTGTTTCACAGTTTTCTTTGTTGTACCAAGCACAATACATTTATCTTTGTAGCCATTCACTACAACAATAGGAGTTATTAAAAACTAAGTAAAAGTCATTTATTTTTCACAATTACGAATATGGCGAAAGGCATTGGGTGGCCAAACCAAACCTTCACAATGACGACATTCTAACCATCCTTTTCTGGTAGTAGAACGACGAAAGTTGGACGCTATGGATTCATTTTTGTGATGATTCGAGTCAAAAGGGATTTGACTCATTCTTTCTTTCGATTCATCAAAACCACCTAAATAGCCATTCCATTCAGCCTCATTCGATATTTGAGAATTTTCTCCTGAGCACTTTTCAGAAACGTGTTCCGTACAAAAGTCATCCGTTTCCTGATTTTTAGAAAGCGATGATTCCGAGTCTCCATGATGGCAGCATTCTTCATTCTTCTCGACATTCGAAAGGGACAAATGAGAATAGGTCAGTCCTTGAGAATCGCACAACACTGAACAAGTTTCTGTATTTGTTACACAATCCTGCTTATCCGAACATCTTCTTCTTGAACGCTTTAGTACAGGTTGTGTTTCATTTGTTAAAAAACACATAGAAGCATGGCGACGAGAGTTGGGTGCCCACACATGTTCTCCGCATTTTAAACATACCACATACCCTGGACGATCTAAAGTCTTTTTGAATCCTTCTACACGAGCAGCTTCACTCCAATGACGGAAGCGACTTTTTTTCAGACTCGCTTGCTGAGAATCACAACGAGAAGTATCCGAATGATGAGTAGTCGAATTCACATGTGACAAAGTGTTGGTCATATCTCTTCCAACAGTTTCATCTCTTATTCTGCCGTTGTAAACCTTACAAGAATTGAAGTGATATCGACCTATTCAAAATGTCAGATAACATTTTACAACTTTGAAATAATTACCATTAGGAGCCCAACATTCTGCTCCACAATATACACAACAAATAAAACCACGATGCTTTGAAGCACGAAACATTTCACGGAAACGCTTCTTAAAAGACAAACGATCTTCATGATAGCGAGAATTTCCCACATGACTAGTGCAATCTTCCTTATTCACTCTGTTGTCTTCACGAGAATAAAAACCACCTGATGAGCCATCTAAATGGCGAGGGTGACGACGAATATTACATTTATCCATAGAAACGCATTCCGAACTCGCTTCCAAATCAACAAAACTTCCTCCTCCTTGACTAGTAGAACATATACATTCCAAGTCTTCCAACAAATCGTTATGGCTCAAAGTAAGTGAAACAGCACGACGACAACGATTGCTCCAAAATGGTATCTCCAATAAAGGTCGTGAATAAGAAACTTGGAAATTATCTTCTGATTGCATCCACTGTTTTTCTTGTTTCGGTAACAATGGAATAAAGCCATTGCTTTTTATAGCATCTTCCAAGGAATGTCTGCGTTGAGTACGATAATTTAACACAGCACGACGAAACATTCTTTCACTAGGCGCCATCAACCGAAAAAACTCATCATTCTTTAGCGCCTCTTGGCAAAGTTCTAAACTCGCCTGAGAACCAACGGCACAACTATCCAAGCTCTTTAGTTCCGTTTGATCTATACTGTCTTCAGATATTACGGAATTCTCATGCGATGAAACAGGTGAGATAGAATAGTACTTGGGCCCGACGTACTCATCCTTCCATTCTTGTACTACTCGCTTCGAAAAACTATTCATATTGATCTCAGGTTGTGCAGCTGACAAGTTCAAACTCGGGCAGGTAGGTTTAGTCTCAGAATACGATTCCATTTGTTCTTCCCATAACTCTTCCAAGCGACGAGATAGATCAGGTTGGTTGCTATGCTCTTCTTTTGTCTTTTGTAGTCGATTACAACCGACACCTATGCCTTGTGAACTATCTAAAGAACTGCTATCAAGTCTCTGCATAAGAGAATCTGCTAAATGCTGCTTTTCTACTTTGGTCCAACTTCTCTTATCCAGCTTTTTCTCTGTCAAGGGGGAACGAGAAAAAATAGTGTCACAGTAACAACGCGGTTTTTCAAAAAGATGTTGCTTGATTTCAGAAACGCTGAAGTAATAACGTATTTCTTTCAAAAGAGATATGCAACCAGTGCGATCGGCAATGGACAGAAACGACTGAAACGACCGTCGTCCGGCTCTCGATGAGAAACGAAAACCGACGCTATTGAGATCGAAAAATACTTTCTATGTAAACTTGTCGCTGTTTAGAGACTCAGCGACTTTTATACAAGCAGTATCTAGGCTAGTCAAATGTAACTAGAAACAACCTGTTGTGTCACCCTCTGCCAAAGTTAAAACAAGAATTGCGCGCCTTGGGTGGGACAGTCAAAATTCCGTGTCAAATTTTGCCATTTCGAGGGAAAAATGGCAACGTGTTGTCCTTTCCCCCTTTCACACTTGCGTTTCAATAGATGGCGGGCTGGCTGCTTTCAAAAGCGATCCATCTCATGCAAAGCATCAACTAGCATTTTTCTTCTCGGTAATGTTTGATTTCTGGAAAGCAATCGCTGATAAATACATTAAATAAGGATACTACTGAGCTACATTTATATATGTATACATACACTGAAAACGTGTATCCCATTATTTCATTTTTAAACACTACATTTGAGTACATTTTACAGTCCGAATAAGAAAAAATTTCAATAAGCAAGTTCTAACTGGTCTTAGATACCCAAAATTTGCGTTTTCAAAACTTTTGTCTCTGTAATACTAAAATCATACCAAAGTGTGTCATTTTTGGTAGGGCTTGCCTTAAATAGTAAAGACAAGCTTTCTTCACTGTAACTCTTTCACAAAACCAAACTATACAGATTTGTCCCTCTTCTTCAACTCCTCTTCAAGTATTTCCTTTGCACCTCGTATTTTGCTCTGTAGGTACGGGCTTCCTCCACGTGATGGATCATTCACAGTTTGTAAAAACTCGTACCTCTTTAATATATTTTCCCTTGAATCACTTCTGGACACTCCTAAAATATTACAAGCTTCTTCCACTGACATTTTTCCTTCCTCGCGAAAAACTTGACCTGCAGCACCCGCCGCTGTGCCTCTTACGTGAGCATTGTAGAGTGCCTGTTTGTAGGCTTCCAGAAAAGCACGAAACAAATAAGTGCCACCTACAATGAGAAGCTGCGCAATGAACTTAGGAACAGGCATCGTGAAAGAAAAAGGCCGGCCCTTCTCGCATGAACCAATTTTAACAGCAAATTATTATCTTTTACAAAATAACAAAAAAATAGTAGAAATGTAATGTTTAACAAAAAAATTTATTTTAAATTTTTTAATTTTTAGCATAGCACTAAAAAAAATAATAATAAATTCAAGAATTTAATGATGTTTTCAACAAATTTGCCTTGGCTTTTTCAGAGTTACGCTGTGTAAATTTTCAATTTAGAATCTTTCTCACTTAGCAGCTTGAATTGGTGTAGAAAAAATTTGTTAAACATTATTAGACTATATTATTTAAAACCTCAAATAATATCGAATCTTTCCATTTTTTATCAAGTTGAGATTGAACAAAATTTTATTTATGCCAGAGTTTTTGGGTCCATCCCAAATTAAAAAACTACTTACAAGTACACTTGTATCTCAAACGTTTTTAGGCGTAGATGTAGGGTCTTCTTGTGTAGGTTTAGCTATCGCACAACACGGGTATGTACTTTTTTTTGTGCTTGCTTGTCTTAGACAACGATAAGGACTAAGATGGCTTTCCCCTTGTCTTGGTTTAAGCGTAGAAATCCTCTAGAAGATGCCAGAGTGGTACACGACATTCTGATCGCTAATGGTGTTGATGTTTGTGTGTTTGGTTATCCCTTGACTTTGCAAGGTGGTGAGGGTGAAAACGTGAGCAAAATTCTTTTATTTGCGTTAAATTTTAATTTCATTTAAGTGTCGCAACGTTGCTTTGTTCGTCCGAGGGTTGCAACAACAAGGTGTTTTCTTAGATACAAAGGTGCACAGTTGTTTATTTTGGGATGAAAGATTTTCTACACAGATGGCGAAACGAGTTGTTTTACGAACAAGGCAGAACTTGAGAGACCTGCGAGATCCAACTAAAGATGAAATGAAGAAAGAAGTGGACAAATATTCAGCGGCGTTTTTGCTGCAAACTGTGCTAGATCGTTTTCCGTAGTTTTTAGATCAATTCATATATTTTGGAACTCTTGAAATACTTTGGTTGCAATACCACCTGCAACGACTGAATCGATGATAATATTGTTCATTCATTGAAAATCTAGTTGAGTTACGTCTGAAATGTTCTAAATGTTTCTCTATTTTTGACCTGTAAATAAACGATTTTGTATATGATTTCATTATGTTTGTATCTGTCTTGAGTGAAACTAACTGGTCACAGTACGGACTCCAAAAAACCTTTGTTTATTCAAAGAATGAAAGGTATTTGAGATGACAATATCTCATCTGAAAAATTTGACAAAGCTATGGTTGTAGAGAGAAAGAGAAGCAACACACAATACTTGTTCTGTTTGAGGAATCTGTGAACTTTTTCAATGGTATTTGGAAGAAATACATCATGGATGAGATGCAGATACTCCGAGGAGGAGGAGGAGGAGGAAGAGGAGGAGGAGAGAGTTGATAAGAAGCATAACAGATAACGTTGCTATAAAGATATGAAACCAGCATTATTGCAAACGGTTTTGTTCTATCGACGTTGTATACAACCGTTAATTTGGAATATTACAAAGAGCCCTTGTTCTTTCAATCCTAAGCGTTGTTTAAGTTCAAGGTTTGTTGACCGTGTTCGTGTTGTAGTTTCTGGAGGTAACGGAGGTCCAGGGCTATCGAGTTTTACTAGAGATCGTGATCATGAGTGTGGTGCTCCTGATGGTGGAAGTGGAGGAAGAGGTGGCAATGTTTATGTAGAGTGTCGAATGGATTGCAAAAGTCTTCCAAGTTCTCAGAAGAGGTTTCGTGGTGAGTTGGGGGGATCTGGAGGACGTTTTTGTACTGATGGAGCTCGTGGAGAGGATTGCGTCATTCCTGTTCCTTGTGGAACTCTAGTGAAAGCCATTTTCCAACAGGAAGAGAATGTATTATTGGAAGAAGATAAGGATGATGATTCTCTTTATTTTACTAGAAGCGGTATAGCTGTATTGGGGGATTTGAATCAGGATGGCGAACGAATATTAGTAGCTGCCGGTGGGAAAGGTGGAAGAGGCAATCATTCTTTTCATCATTCGAGGAAGAAGCCAATAGACTTTTTTGAAGAAGGCTTTGCGGGTCAGACTCGTTTGCTTGAGTTGGAGTTGAAGTCCATTGCAGATGTTGGTTTAGTTGGTTTTCCAAATGCTGGAAAGAGTTCTCTTTTACGCGCCATATCTCGAGCAAAGCCCAAGGTAGCTCCTTATCCTTTTACCACGTTACGTCCTTATCTTGGTGTAGTACAAGGTAATAATGATACCTTTACTTGTGCAGATATTCCCGGTTTAGTAGAAGGCGCTTATCAAAATCGAGGACTTGGACATGATTTTTTAAGACATATTGAACGCACCTCCATATTACTTTATGTGATAGATATTAGTGGATACGAAGATTTAGATGTTGCGTCCACTTTTCATATATTAAGAAGGGAATTGGAAATGTATAATTCCAGTCTAGTGCAACGCCCTTTTGTTATTGTATTGAATAAGATGGACCTCATCCAAGACAATCGAAAGTTACTTGAGATATGTGAAAACTTTGTTCAGTTGATGTCGGATGATATTCCAATATTTCCCGTTTCTGCAGAAGAAAAGTTGGGCTTATCTGATTTGGTACTTTATTTGCATGAAATGGTTGTTCGAGTAGGAAAGAGGTCTCGATTGAGTTCATCAGAATTAGAGTTTGAAAGACTCCTTGAGGAAGAAGTTATGCAAGAAGAAAGGGAACCATAAAGAAAGACTCGTGGAGTCATTTTTAGATATATTGAATTGAAACAAACATGGACCCTCCTTTTCTTATCCGAAAAACTTTTATAAGCTGGTTCCTTTTTTTTTTTAAACAAAGCACAACAACCAAAATGAGTTGGCCCGTTCAACACAATTGTTGGATTCGTGATTTTTGGGTGTTTCAATGACTTCAGAGAAAGAAGAAGAACACGACTATTTATTTAAAAGTATGTATATTTAGTTATTGAGTGAGTTGGCTAAGTTTATTGTAGTCGTTTTGGTGGGTGACTCTGGAGTAGGTAAATCCAATTTGTTATGGCGTTTTACTAGAAATGAGTTTCACCTAGACTCCAAATCAACGATTGGAGTAGAGTTTGCAACTAAGACTATACATTTGGAAGATGGAAAAGTTGTCAAAGCACAAATATGGGATACAGCGGGTCAAGAGAGATACAAAGCCATTACAGCGGCCTATTATAGAGGAGCCTTTGGTGCACTATTGGTATATGATATTACCCAAAGAGCTTCTTTGGAAAACATTCCAAGATGGCTAAGGGAATTACGTGAACATGTAGATAATCAAATGGTCGTTATGTTGGTCGGAAATAAGTGTGACTTGAGACACTTGAGACAAGTAGAAATAGAGCAAGGAAAGAAACTGGCTGAAGAAGAGGGTTTGCTATTTTTAGAAACTTCAGCACTTGACTCAACCAACGTAGAAGAAGCATTTACGCAACTGATTCGAGAAATATATAGATTGATGAAGAAGAAGGCACTCGTTAACGAATCTACGCAATCATTTGCTTTGAAACAGGATAATACGGTGGTTATTCGAGATCCTAGTGCAGCAAAATCATCTAAAAAGAAAAAGTGTTGTACTTGATATATATATATATATCACATTGCCTATGACTGTTCCATTGCAACTTTGTCCACACAATCCATTCCTAAAGAGTTTTAGGAAAGATACACTTCTTTATTCATCCGTTTCTGAAATATAGCCATTCATTCGAAGAGATTGTTTAGCTTTGTTTAGTTGTTCTTCAAAACCAGTTTTAAATGACATAATATCGCTCCATTTCTTGTGCTTCCAACTGCGATGAAAACGAATCCACAACTCACAATATCTTTCGTGAATCATGATAAAGGCTTGCTCTTCTGAACATCCATATAAAAGAGTATCCAAATAGTCTTCATCGAGTAGTTGTACAATAGCAACTGTACATCGAATACCAACACAAGCAAAAGGATAACTAACGACAGAAAATTGAAATACAATAAAGCTCCGTTTCACTTGTCACCAACCTTTGACTAGCTTCATTCAACATTTGTAAAAACAATTCTCTTCTTGTTTCTGCAAAATACACCAATTGCTGCAAAGAAAGAAGTCCACCTCCTCTAAAGTCTGTAGCAGGATCCTTTCCTTGAAAGCCAAGTTTTGTCCATTCTTCACTCTTTTTACTAAAAGATTCGTGTGACGTAGAAGCAAGCAATAAATTCCACAACTAGTATGGACTAAGATTATACTGTTCAAAGGATATAGAATTTCATTCACACCTTGATAAGTGCTTCTTCGTGGGATGAGTTGCTGTGGTCAAAACAAGTAGTCTGTCGTTGTCTTATTCTTTCTTTTAAATATTGTATGTGCTTCAAATCTTCCAGAACACTAACAAGTTCTCTAAGGTTTTTCAATAATGGTTTCTTTTCTTTACATATATATAGCTTACGTTTTGATACTTTCTGAGTTGTCTGGAGTCTTTTCCAATATCCAATTGCTTATCAACTCCACATCAAAGTCAGCATTATTTTGTATAACGTGATAAATATTAATACAGCTGGGAGTGTTTTGAAGACTTGATTTCAACTCCTTTATGGTTTGTGGACCACTTCCACTTGGCAAAGTCAAGTGACAAAACTGAGCAATGTCGTTGCCTCTTTTCTGACTGGATATGAAATAGGAATGCTTGTCTCTTTGTAGGATAACTTTGACAATATGAGTTAGAAACCTCCATAAAGTGGTTGTCCATCTTTGAACATAAACCATTATAAGACATTTCCAAGTCATTTTCTTTCAATGAGAAGAAGATTCTTATTGACATTTCATTGTATATCGTTGTTGTTTTCAAGTCCTCGTTGTTTGTCATCACCAGTCCTTAGCAAACCTATAACTATGTCTGTTCACACTCAGTCACCTCAATTGGCAGTTGTACAACTATTATCAACCAACGACATTGAAAGTAACTTTAGAAAGTGCCAAAGTCTTATTCATGTGGGTAGTTGAACTCCTTTTTTTTGTCTTTGTGGTTATTTATCCGTGGGAAGTTAGGAAGCAGCTATGCAAGGTGCTTGTTTCATTAGTCTACCAGAATGTTTTGAGTTTATTGGTGAAACTACCCAAGATGCACTTTCCATAGCTCAACCTTTGGACGGACCTTTGTTTTCTCGTTACAGGGAATTGGCTGTCAAAGAACAAGTTTGGTTGTCGTTGGCAGGTTTTCATGAGAAAGGTCCCGATGATGCTCACATATATAATACCCATGTAGTAGTGGACTCTAAAGGTTCCATGGTTGCTGTTTATCGCAAGTTACATTTATTCGATGTAGACATACAAGATGGTCGCATATCCGAGTCTCAGACAACTGCACCTGGAAAAGAAATGGTGATTGTGAATAATACTCCCATTGGTAATGTGGGACTAACTACTTGGTAAGTTGACGCTGTGGAGTGCACACAACAATACTTACTTGGAAAAGTTATGATGTTCGTTTTCCAGAATTGTACAGTTGTTTAGCAGGCTATGGTGCAGACGTTATTCTTGTACCTGCTGCGTTCTTTCCTTCTACCGGAGAAGCTCACTGGGAAGTTCTCTTGAGAGCAAGAGCTATAGAAAATGAGGCAAGTTTTGTGTGTGTAGAGAGAAAAGGGACTCACTTGATATAGGTATATATTGCAGCTGCTGCACAAGTTGGAAAGCATAACAACAAGAGAAGTAGTTATGGCCATAGTATGATAGTCGATCCTTGGGGAAGTATAATCGGTCAGTTGGGAAAGAAAGAGAATGAATATTGTTGTTGTACAATCGATAGTGCATATTTGCAGTTGATCCGACAACGTATTCCCAAATGGAAACATCGACGAGATGATATTTATGGTCATTTGACTCGACCACAATCGTTGAATAGTTAATGAAGTGGTTGTGGATATTGTGTTTATTCACTACGGTATATGCTAAAGAAAACCTTGTGTCAGTTGCCCACGTATTTCTTGGGACAAGACAACTATTCCCTGTTGTATTTCACAACTCACTTGACACTAATAGTAATCACTGGGACCAAGGCTCTGTAGAAATATGGAAAGAGAAATGGGGTTTTATGATGGAAAATAATAGTGTAGTGGGAACCATACAACAAACTTGGAGTGGTAATGGTACTCAAAAGTTATTTGTGACTCGATTGGAACTAGATGGTCCAACTAGTGGTCAGTTGTATTGGGCAGAGTTGCTGTTTACCAAAAGTGGAAAGGAGTACAGAGGACCTTGGCAAAAGAAGATGGACTTTGACTTGCAACCTTCTCAAGATGGTTGTATTGTTTCTAAAGTAAGTGTTGAGAATATTGTTTATGGAGTGGATGAGAAGAGGTGGAAACTTTAGGGACAGTGGAAGGATAGTCTGTGTGAAGGAGACTATCTATTCTCCACCAATGAGAACGGAAAGTGGATTATTCGAGTCGACGATATAGCTCGGAAGAGAATTGTCTTTTGGTATGGGACTAGAGAAGAACAAGAAGATAGAAGACAACGAGTAAACAAGTTGTTGCCTCCTATGATAATCATAGTTGCCATCGTTGTCACTCGCTTGTTTCGCATTTATTTGATACCCAAAGCTAAAGTACAAAAGAAAAAGTCTAGTTAGAGCAACAAATTGTCAAGAGACCTAACAGAACAGCAGTCAAAAGTGGGAAAGAATGAGATGAGCAAAAGAGTTGTGAGATCAGCAATATTATTGAGTTCAACAGTTGCATATTCAGTGAAGCAGCACTCTTAAGTTGTCATCCGAAATAAAAGGTTGTACATTGTTGGTATGTCTTACCTTAAGTGAATCTGGGCAAGTGCTTGGCAGCGTTACGTGAAACTTCCCTATTGCAAGGCTTACACTGAGTTGCGGTATGATAGGTATGAAGGCAAGCTGCAAAACTGAATACAAACGAACCAACTAAACCAGTTCGTACATAGCGACCAAGGTTTGCTCTTTCCCCTTTTTTGTGTTTTAGAATGAAAGCTCAAGTTGAAAAAGTCAGTTTACCGTATAAAGCGTTAGTTATAAACATGCTTCCGAAGAAACTCAAAACTCCAGTAAACAGGCCCATCCTTTGCAACACAGCTGTACAGGATGCAGCGTCTGGTCTCATAATAGGTTCATAAGGGATATCATAAAAGTACTCTTCCTCTTCTTGTTCTAAATAGTCCACATCGTTGATATGCTCTGAAGTCATGATATTCTGGTAGGAGGACATTCAACAATTAGTTTGATTTTTTTGAAAAGCTCAAAGACTTTGAAATAGAGTTGAGGCAATATGCAGCAGCAACAAGTGTTGCCTTTTAATTTGGAGCAAGCTGAACATAATATAAGGAACTTGGCTGAGTTGATACGAGGTGCAGAGTCATTGCTGCGAACAAAGATCCAGCAAGAAGGCAGCACGTCTTTGGCAGTACAACAACTTCAAACTTCTATAGTAGCTGCAAAAGAGAAATATAGACAAGTATTGACTATGCACTCTAATATAAAGAAGTATGTTTCGGTAAGTGATAACAACAACGTTGTATGAGTGGGTTATGAACCTAACATATCGACAGACTCAGGAGAAGAGGAATTCGGAAAAACGCTCAACTTTAAGCAAAGGGGAGTTGGAAAAGTTGAGTGCTAATGTTCTCAGTAGAAAAGAATATGAAAATAGAAACTACCAAGGCTTCGAGAAATATCCTACAGCGTTCTCCAGTAGAGAGAAGTTTGCACTTACAAAGGAACAGTGGAACCAATATGGTTTAAGAGCTGTTGTTCCTTGTGAATTGGATTGGAAACAGTTTCCTCCAATGTTGATGGGAAAGGTTGGTGAGATGTTGAGCTTTGGTATAGTTTTGAAAGAAACAAAAACTGGATTCCATTTTCCTTATTCTGTTCGTATCTTTGGAGTTGACGAGCATGTGGTTTATTGGAGTTGGAGTAAATATCACATATTTCGCTTAATATCTGAGAGAGCCCAAGCGGCATTATGTTACTATATGGAGAAAGCAATGTATTCCAACCAACCCATAGAGAAGGCTTTGGATACCTTACTTCTCTGGATAAAGTCTCATGACACGTGGGAGGATTGGAAACTAAGGTTCGATATGGCACGAAGCAGCTTTCTACCGCCTTGTGTCCGAAGTTTCCAAAATCCTTTGAAAAGCTCAGCGAGATATCCTCAAACTTGCGTTTATACGAAACATCGAAAATTGGATTCTTTTATAGGAACCCACTCTTGATTAAAAACTAATATGTGACAATTTGACGACTATTAACAAGACTCACTTTTCCGTATCTAAAATACACAAAGAACTATATTCCAGTTACCAATTCTAACAACAACAAAGTATCCACAGTCAATTGGCTTCAGAATACATAAAACTCAGACAGAAAGCGCGGGACTTGGACGAAAATGTGCATAGCTTCTGTCCATAGAGTATAATAAAGAACTAGTATGAGTAGAATACCTATGACGTCTACCACCCATAAGCGAGCGACGTAACATCTCCGACCTTGCATGTGGTTCCAAAGTTAAGTCTTTAGTTGATAGACGGAACCAAGAATCTCGAACCATTGGATTCTCTGAACGAACTGGAGGTGAACCCAGAAACTCCATTTCACTATTCCTCTCATCTGTCATGGAAGAAAAATCACAATCCTCTATATTCACTGAACTGTTCGTGCATTCACTTATAAGACTGCTTTTGCTTTTCTCAGCATTCAAGAAACCATGACTTTTGAAAGAAGAACTTAAACTGCCCACCTCCGACATACATATCGAATATTTTTCACACTGTTTCTGGACGTTACCGCAACCATAACATACAGGAGAAGGGCTCGAAGACCACTCTAAACTCTCCCATTCCTGCTTATCTCCTGCACCTGAGGCAAACGCATTTTCACAACGTCTAGAAACATCGCTCAGATCACCAGTGGATCCACCATCTTCAAAAGTAAGCCAGGAGCCACTTAGAGACGAAAGAGTAGCACAAGTCCTTTCGCTGCTATCCTTAGATGTGCAACAAGCATCTGGAACCCGCTCAATACAGTCTCCACCGTCATACCTTATGAATAAGAACTTGTGGGATGGTGTTACTCTCCTAGGTTTTGGACAGTAGAGTGGGCACTTGAGGCTTCTTCTACTTTCCAGGTCAGCTCGGTTCGAACTTGAGTCAGGCTCTTGCGTGGAGTTGGTTTCGTGACTATCTGCTTTGGAAGCAAGGGTGGCCTCGGAACCACGCTGACTCTGTAAATCGTTCCCACTCCTAACTTCTTTTGAGAGGTCCATGCTATTTCTGCTCACAACGATAAAAGAAATCTACGACAGGCGCAATCTTCGCAGCAAGTCAATGCGCTCAGGTTCGTAACGAACTAATCCTCTACAAGCGAAAGAAAATCAAAAATCTGCGGAACTGAAGTGTTTCTAGCAACCCAACTCAAAGAACAGAGATCTAAAACCTATTTCTATCAAAGCTAGCCTTAACCTTTCTACTATCCAACGCAAGTTTGCTTCCTCCAAAAAAAGTTTGCTGCGTTGGCAAACTAAAGATGAAAGTTATAAAAAGTCATTTCGAAAAAGAACTCAGCGACGCCAACCTCCAACTTCCAATTGGAGTAAGATGATCATAAGTATCTTTGGCACCAGATTAGCCGAGGGTGCGCTTAGTGATTCTTCTGGAACTTGCCTCGGCCATGAGGGACCTTGCCATAAGAATGAGTGCTACAATCCGATGATCCTATGTAAAAGTCATCGTCAAGATTCAATGCCAAAATATCTTTGTTTCGACGTTCTACTAATAATTGTACTATTTAGAAAGGGTATTTGCTATTAGAAGAGACTTTTGACGATATTTTGTTTTGTATCTATCTGTTTTGTTCTGTAAAACTACCAACGTTTTCTTTAGCCTACTATTTGCCCCCTTTCCTGTCTCGTTGCTAAAGTAGCTAGATTCACCCCTTTGACTTTGCAGGAATCAGTGGTAGGGGGATTCCGGATCTCAACAAGTTTTGATACTCTGATAGCATTTACAATGGAACAAACACTTGAAACGAGGTTATGTGCTCTGTTGAGACGACATATTTTGATATCCTCTTCATCCACCCAAAGACAATGTTAAAAATATCGACAGATTTTCTGGAGAAAATATCATATCAATGGGAGATATCACAGAGTAAATCAGATATCTTTTTATTCAAATTCAAACAGAGCTAAGTCGTTTTCATTTTGAGAGCAATTCGCTCGACTCATATAAAATAGTTTTCCAAGCGTCTGAAGATATTTCCACTTTGTAAAAGTAGTTTTCGGTTATACTTTTATTTGAACAATTTGTGTCGTGGAAAGTTTGTATTGTCTCGCTGCGAACATCGCAAAATGCTTCAGCATATTGCCAACTCAGGAGAGTTAAATGTACATACTGAACTAGGTGAAAGAAGTTCAAGTTTCTTTTTCTGGGTCTTACAATATTACCTTGTAACTTTGCAACTTGGGTGAATGTAGACTTTCAAAATAGCAGTTTGTTACTTGCTACTTCCCTTTTTTTGGTAGCATGAATGGAAACGGAGAAACTTTTTGGGTTCTATTTGTAGATAAGTTCCATTGTTGAAAAATGTTTTTATTACCCTTTAAGTGTCGTGATACCAAGTTTGCGGCGTTTCTAATTTAGCAATTGTAAGAAAGGTACTATGATGTTTGTCTATCCACTCTTATTATGTTGACTGTTATTTTGCCATTTGTTGTGGCAAAAACTGTATACTCGTGGTAAACCTCATGAAATAGCCAAGTCAAACTTTCCGAGGTTTTGTAAACTCTATGAAGCTATCCCTGTCTGTAGTTCATAAGAGAGCAACGATTTAGATGCATAAAGAATATCCAAATTTTCCTGAACAGATATCTTTTGCAATATAGTAACATCGCCGTTTTGAACGGGCAGCATGCTATGAGCATTTTTTTCTAGAAAGACAACACCTCCCGCAAAAGAAAAGCCTCCTCGATCCGTCTTGCACTATTGTTCCTCCACGTTGCAGCACAAGTCTCTGATTTCTCCACGTGGAATAAAATGAAACGGTCAAATCCGCTGAGAGAATCGGCTTCTGTAAAATCATTGGCTGAACGTCCCTGGGCCAACTTGCGCGCCAAACCAGTGGGCGCAGAAATTTTCTTCTGAGAAAGCCAATTCACCGCCAAAGCCAAGTGAGCTTTGCTAGTTGTCAACGATTGTACAGGCAAAAATAAATGGCAACGATAACTTCGACTACAGGTGTAGAACGACGTAATAATGAAGGTAAGAGTCAACCTGCGTTGTTGAAGAGCTTGTTTTCATTATAGAGTCTTAGGGAGTTCAAAAAACCAATATATCTTAGATTTAGAGTCTCTTACATTACCTGACCTTCTAAACGGTATTAACCCAGACCTACTAGAGGACATGAAAGCTCAAACTCCCAGTGTTTTGAGAGCTCTTATGGAACAGGAGAGGCTATTGGCAGACTACAGTTCTACCAATAGCACCGATATATCATCTTTTCTAGGAGGTGTGGAGAATGAAACGGATGTTTCTAGCATGTATGGAAATGACTATTTCCTTCCCTATGCGGACCCGACGCTTCAAGCTTCTTCAAACAGAAGCTCAATTAACCAGGAAACCTTTGGTGGATACAATTCTAGTGAACAACTATTCAATCCATTTCCTTCTTCTAATAGATATGATGGTCAAAATGGAGGCAAGGCAGTATTTAAAGATGATGGACTGGAGGTCTTGCAGAACTTTCGAAAGTTTTCTGTTGAGGAACCGACGGCTTTATTCGAAGAGATGAAGCAAAATCGGCCCTCTTCAGATCAGTTTAACAGTGCATCTGTCTTTGTTAGCAAAAATAAGCGATACTCGGTGGAGGCGTTAAGTCGACAGCCGAAAATCAGCTCCCATTCAACATATGACAAGGTCTCCGCTGACAGCATTATATCGCCCCAGAAGCGGAAGGACCTTGGATTGGCAGATGACAGTAGCTATTTCAATGCTGGAGAGTCCGATAGCTGCGGAACAAGTAATGTTACATCTTCTGTGGCCCCCACTGAGAAGAAAGCAATGAGGTTATAAATATGATATCTTAGTATATTTTCTTGGCTAAACAAATTTTTCTTGTTGTAGGGCTGAAAGGAATCGTCAGTCTGCAGCTGCTTCACGGGAAAGAAAGAAGCAACATATACGAGAACTCGAGAGACGGGTATCCTTATTATCTGCTGAAAACGCTCATTTGCAGTTGGAGCAACTTAGCTTTGTTAAAAGTAGAATCGAACGGGAGAAAAGATTAATAGAAGAAAATCGTCGATTAAAGAATGAGGTGGGGAATTATTTGATTAGAACTGAACTAAAACATGCTGAACTTGAACAGGTTAAATTCCAAGAGAAAGTTATTCATGAGAAGCAGTCCAAGATATTTGAACTGAGTAGCAAGCTCACAAAGCCTTCATCTCGAGGGGCTTTGGAAAAACGAGTAACTTGGACTCCAAGTTCTGGAGAGAGTTTGTTTGAAGACTAGTTGTACATGAGAAAATAGACTGATTTCTTTCCTTCAAATGTCATAAAATTGGGTAACTCTTTATGAATCCTGTCTATGAAACTTTCAAAGAACTCAAGATTACACTGCATGAAGAGCATTATTCAAGTCTTCCAACAAGTCATCGAGATCCTCTATTCCAACAGAGATACGGATGAGAGTATCATCGATTCCCAATTGCTGACGTACTTCTGCTGGAACAGAGGCATGTGTCATTAATGCCTAGAAATAATCAGCGAAACGAAACCATCATTTGTCATTACTTACAGGATGTTCGATAAGCGACTCCACACCTCCTAAACTTTCTGCCAAGGTAAAATATTTGCATTTCTTAAGAAATCTTTCAGCTCCTGCCAAGTCGCTATCGATAAAGAAGGTTATCATTCCTCCGAAACCATGTTGCTGTGCTTTTGCAATTTCATGTTGGGGATGAGAAGTCAAACCAGGATACAGCACTTTCCTGACCTACTCATTCTTAAATGAGCAAACTGATCACTATTATCGAAAACAATGGATACTTTGGGATGCTTCTCTAGAAAAGTAGCAATTTTCAAGGCATTGGACTCATGTTTCCTCATTCGAATAGCCAAGGTCTTCAAACCTCTGTTCGCCAAATAGCAATCGAATGGTGATGGGACACCTCCAAGACTATTCTGAAGGAATCGAATGCGTTGTCCTAAGGACTCATCGTTCCAAGTAACAACGCCCATAATGACATCAGAATGTCCGTTGATATATTTGGAGACGCTATTCAAAGAAATATGTGCACCCAACTCCAAAGGCCTCTGAAAGTAAGGAGACATGAAGGTATTGTCTACAACCAACATCACATCATGTTTGCTAACTATAGCAGCTACTTGACGAATATCGACAATCTACAAGGAAAGATCGATAATGAATATAAAAAGTCCTAATAAAGTATTTTCACACCTTCATGGTAGGGTTAGTAGGCGACTCGACCCAAATCAACTTGGTGTTGCTTCTAATAGCAGCTTTTACTTTTTGCAAATCTTCAAAGTCGACAAACGAAAACTCCAACTGGAAATTATTTGCCACTCTTCGAAAATATCTTTGAGTACCTCCATAGACATCATCTATACAAACGATGTGGTCACCTGCCTTGAGTAAGTGCAGCAGAGTTACAGTTGCAGCCAAGCCACTTGAAAAAGCGGCAGATTCTATTGTCAATAATTTAGTTTTCGGTATATTCCTAGTAAGAAGACAAGGAAGGTACCTTTTCCACCTTCACAAGCAGCCACACAACGCTGAATACACTGTCAAGTTACTACAATACCTAGTTCGTGAAACATACCTCAAAGGCTTGTCTAGTAGGGTTATTGGAACGTGAATAATCAAAACTGGTTGGCTTTCCAGGAGAACTTTGAGCAAAAGCTAAAAACAGTGTCACGACAAGATATCCACAGCCAAGGTATGATATTGGTCGTCACTTACTTGTGCTTAAAGAGAGTGCAGGGATCACGGCGCCTGTAACAGGGTCAGGATCTTGACCTACCAAAGTTACGAGTTATTCGTATCGACTAGTCATTTACAATATTTCATACATACCGACGTGTATGGCTGCAGTTTCAAACTTCATTGAGGTCAACAAGAACAAGAATGGCTTTCCAATGGACACAATTCTCTGGAGGAAATCTCTTTTTATTTTTTGGTTATCTGCGAATCAATCACTACCAACAACCTACAAAGTTACAGGCAACTCGTTCCTTCTGAATCAAGCTATAACATAACAATTCAGGTTGCAGTGTGTTTTAATGTTGGATATACTCGACCCCATGCCACAAACACAGCAGATGCTCCGTTTTCAAAACTATTGATTAGTTCTTCATTTGCAATGAATCGACCTCCTTTATCTAATATATAACTAAACTTTGCTCCTTTCACTTTTATTCCCACAAAGTTTGAATTCTTCTTAGATTTGCCTTTTACAACCGTCTTGGTAAGCAAATGTCTAGGAGCAGTTTTGGTCCCAATGATAGTATATGTCCTTATAATCAACTTTTGCGCACTGTGACCTACAATCCACATTTCACTTATAAAGTTTCGAGAATACCAAAACACCAAGAAAAGACAGACCAAACCTACAACTGATGCAATCTATGTTCATATAGAAAAAGCATTTGAATAAAAGCTATTGATTCAGTACAGTACACTTACTCCCGATATATTTCGTGCGAGAAGAGAAGGGTTGTCATCTTTCCTTTTGGTTCCTTCCAACTTTTCTGCCAGCCAAATTCCTAGTTGTGAGCTGGACAAAAAAGTAAGGAAGAAGAAATGCCAACCCTTTTTAGCATCATATATCAAAAACTGCGGTTCCTTTGTTTTATGTTGCTGGCTTTCTTCTTGTTTTGACTCTTCTTTTGCTGGGACTGTAGTACAAGGACGATAGGTACACCGAGGATATTTCCTTGGAGTTGTATTCCAAGTGTTATTTTTGAACAAATTGAAAGTTTGTTGTGCAGAGGTTCTTAAAGACATCCACTGAATCGTTGTTGTTGTTGTTGACCTTTCAAACAATGAGCCTTTTCTCCATCCTTCGGTAAAACTCCTTGCTGGTTGCAACAGCTTATGTCTTGCTATGTAAGACAAGTCAGAACATTGCTTCCTCAAACAAAGTCTATTTTGTTCCTGTTTTATCGAAGAATAAGAAACTTGCGTATTCAACTGTCTTAGTTGTTTCGATGTCCAGCATCTTGTTCCTAACAATCGATGCCACATATCCAAAACTGTTAACTGATATGCTTTTGGGACCATCATTTGGTTGATTGAAACATAACTCTTCGATATGACTTTATAGCAGTTCTTCAGATATCTCATTAGGAAAGCTATGAATTGTTAGAATGCGAATACAAATAAAACTAGTTTTATGATTAATTTTTTTTGGGGTTTGCTTACGCCGTAAACACAAAGCGAATGGCTGAAGAGTTCAAAGACTCTACAGTTTGGACAGGAAAAACTATTACCAAACTGATATTGTTACAAAAAGTGAGTTGGTGGTGGAGAGCTGATGTACTTCTTACTGTTATTCTATTCTCCATAGTGGGAAGCTTGAAATGGCGAACCAACTTTTTGGAGACTGACCTCACTTTTGGCTTAACTCTTGGATCAACAGCTACAATAGTTGCACTCTTTCTTTTATTACAGTATTGGTCAGTTGCATTTCGTAAGTGGGTGGGCTATTCTCTTGCAGACTACAACACGGCAACTCACGTTATGGTCTATCCAAGACCACACAAGGGAAGTACTGAACTTCTTCGACTAGAATGCGACACCAACAACTCAAGAGAATCGATCAAATATTTTGTATTTCAAAAACGCAGATTTCAGTATTCACCTCTTCACCGACAATTCCAAAAATTGAAATATCCAGCTGAGGAACCACTCGAGTTTTATCCTTCGAATAAAGGATTCGACTCCGTAGAAGAAGCTATGGAAAGATTGAAGACATATGGAGAAAACCGTTTGGAGATTCCGGTACCGAGTTTCTTGGATCTATACAAGGAACAACTATTGGCGCCTTTTTTTGTGTTTCAAGTCTTTTGTGTATTACTTTGGTGTCTCGATCAGTATTGGAGATATTCTGTGATGACATTAGTAATGTTATTGGTATTTGAAGCAACTGTAGCAAATGGACGAAGAAAGAGCCTTCGGGAGCTTCGAGGAATGAAAAATAGACCATACCAACTTTACGTTTATCGTTGTCGAAAATGGCAAGAGACTGCTTCCACTAAGATAGTTCCTGGTGATATTATTTCAGTGACTCGATCATCGGAACCTGATCTTGTAGTTCCTTGTGATGCACTAGTGTTGAATGGTAGTATAGTTGCAGATGAGTCTTTGCTAACTGGTGAGTCTATTCCTGTTGTGAAGGATGCGTTAAGTTTAGTTTCTGAAACCAATCCTCGACGTCCATTGAGTATGCGTGGAGAAGATAAAAATTCTGTTATTTTTGGTGGAACGAGAACGCTACAAGTCGTTGTATCGGAATCCTTTTCTTTAAAGGCACCAGACAATGGAGCCATCTGTTATGTCTTAAGAACTGGTTTTGGTTCTGTTCAAGGAAAATTAATGCGAACTATTTTATTGTCTACTGAAAAGGTATCGGCAAATGCCAAAGAAGCCGCATTTTTGATTCTGTTCTTGTTATTCTTTGCTTTGGTTTCATCAGCATATGTATTGAAAAAGGGATTGGAAAGTCAAGAACGTAACCGTTTTGAGCTTTTATTGCATTGTATATTGATTATTACTTCGGTGGTTCCGCCAGAGTTGCCTATGCAATTGGCATTGGCCGTCAATTCTAGTTTAGTTGCTTTGACCAAAGAAGGTATCTTTTGTACAGAGCCAT